GAAATACACGGAGTCTTAGTGTGGAGATTATTTAATACAGAAGAGGGATTAAGTACAAAGGCAGATCATAAGAAAAAGAAACGTGTCTACAGATTTTCCCATGGAACCCGGTCACACGATTGACACTGCACCAGAGCACCCGTAGGGTGGACCGTTTCCGGTAAGTTGAAGTTTGTCAACGGGCTAGCACGGCAAAAGTATTTTTGGGTCAAGAGAAACTTATAGAAAAAAACCGGAAGTCGCTGCGACGTAATTTAGGGGTCGCGCAGAGGGCGGGAAAATTCAAACGCCCAAAAGGCCGGAAAATACCCTAATTTTGCCCGTATCTCGTCCCAGGGGCGGCCTACAAAAATTTTAAGGGAACAAAAACTGCTCAAAATCACTTCATCAATACTCTGGTAACATTTTGGAAGTGATCCCACTAAGTTTAGTACCGATCGCCAATAAATAATACCGATTTTTGTAGTTTTTGTGTATTTTAAGGGGTTTCTGGATGGTAAAAATAACGTTCTCACTTTGATTTTTTTTATTTATTTCACGTTAAATGTTTAATATGGCACATGGCACCTTAGCATTTGGTAATTAGAAATATCACATCTGAAAACTCAATAGAATTGTTTGGTTAAAGTTGCACATTACTGAAATGACAAGCATAATTAAGTTTATTTTTGACTAACACTTTTGCGGTCGTTTGCAACATTGAGGAACAAGCCTTGTCTTTGGTCTTCATTTTTTGTGAGTATATTGTGGAAATCTGTTGCTATTCTCACATTCCTCTCCGCTGCGTCATTTACAACAGGGAGGTTTTTGACGAGGACTTCAATTTCCTTAAAATTACTGTTAGAAGGCCATTCTGATGGGTGCAAAGATAAAAAGTCAGGCTGGACACCCAACTTGTGGAAGAAATATTTGGACCCTGCGTTAACAAAACTGGGAAGTGTCAATGACAATACCGAATTTTCTAACTTGACTATGAACCCCTTATTAGGCAAATCGTCTTCCTCCATGTCCTCCCCTGCATTCATCGCAGCCACAATAGACAGTTTGGTCTCCTGGTCTACCTGTCTATCAAATAAAGCCAAAGTGGCCAGTTCAGGGCACAGATACCACAAATGTCCCAAAAATTTCCCCCCCGCAGTTTTCCACATGGTCTTCCGAGCATCATTCTTCTTGTTGCGAAGTACATCTCTGGTGATGGTTTTGAGGTACTCCAAGTCAGTTCTCGGTGCCACAGCAGAAATTCTTGATAGAAACCATACCTGGATATGCTCTGTCACAACAAACACAGCCGTTTCAGAGGCAGCAGTCTTCTCCTGAGCTGAGAGCGAGAATTGACGACTAAACATGCAAATAAGTATGCAGTATTCGTCAATTCTCGCTCTCAGCTCAGGAGAAGACTGCTGCCTCTGAAACGGCTGTGTTTGTTGTGACAGAGCATATCCAGGTATGGTTTCTATCAAGAATTTCTGCTGTGGCACCGAGAACTGACTTGGAGTCAGGGTTGTTAACGTTAAATCTAAAACGTAACGCGTTAAGTTACACGTTAAACCCAGAGACCCTAACGTTAACGCGTTAAAGTTACGGGATCAGCAAAGTTTAACGCGTTAACGTTACGCGTAACGTTTAACGGCCGTTAAAGTTAACCCTGCTTCTACTTAAACGATGAAAAATTCTGTTTGTTTACTAAATCTACCAAAATGCCTCTGTGGGACGATTTAAGAAATGAGTCATGTTAATTTTTGACTGTTAAAATACGGAAATAAGGAGGTTTAGTTGACCCAAATGCATGTCAAAATCTCTTCCAAGTCATTTTTAGACCGAATATTTTGCATAATTAGTGCCGTAATTTAACTTTAACGTCGTTAAAAGTTACAGGGGTCGCGTAACGTTTACGCGTTAACGTTACGGACTATCCGAATGTTTAACGAGTTACCGTTAACGTTAAATTAACTTTAACGTTAACGTCGTAACGCCGTTAACCGTTATTTTAACGTTAACAACCCTGCTTGGAGTACCTCAAAACCATCACCAGAGATGTACTTCGCAACAAGAAGAATGATGCTCGGAAGACCATGTGGAAAACTGCGGGGGGGAAATTTTTGGGACATTTGTGGTATCTGTGCCCTGAACTGGCCACTTTGGCTTTATTTGATAGACAGGTAGACCAGGAGACCAAACTGTCTATTGTGGCTGCGATGAATGCAGGGGAGGACATGGAGGAAGACGATTTGCCTAATAAGGGGTTCATAGTCAAGTTAGAAAATTCGGTATTGTCATTGACACTTCCCAGTTTTGTTAACGCAGGGTCCAAATATTTCTTCCACAAGTTGGGTGTCCAGCCTGACTTTTTATCTTTGCACCCATCAGAATGGCCTTCTAACAGTAATTTTAAGGAAATTGAAGTCCTCGTCAAAAACCTCCCTGTTGTAAATGACGCAGCGGAGAGGAATGTGAGAATAGCAACAGATTTCCACAATATACTCACAAAAAATGAAGACCAAAGACAAGGCTTGTTCCTCAATGTTGCAAACGACCGCAAAAGTGTTAGTCAAAAATAAACTTAATTATGCTTGTCATTTCAGTAATGTGCAACTTTAACCAAACAATTCTATTGAGTTTTCAGATGTGATATTTCTAATTACCAAATGCTAAGGTGCCATGTGCCATATTAAACATTTAACGTGAAATAAATAAAAAAAATCAAAGTGAGAACGTTATTTTTACCATCCAGAAACCCCTTAAAATACACAAAACTACAAAAATCGGTATTATTTATTGGCGATCGGTACTAAACTTAGTGGGATCACTTCCAAAATGTTACCAGAGTATTGATGAAGTGATTTTGAGCAGTTTTTGTTCCCTTAAAATTTTTGTAGGCCGCCCCTGGGACGAGATACGGGCAAAATTAGGGTATTTTCCGGCCTTTTGGGCGTTTGAATTTTCCCGCCCTCTGCGCGACCCCTAAATTACGTCGCAGCGACTTCCGGTTTTTTTCTATAAGTTTCTCTTGACCCAAAAATACTTTTGCCGTGCTAGCCCGTTGACAAACTTCAACTTACCGGAAACGGTCCACCCTACCCGGCAGCCTGCGTCGCAACATGGTAAGCTGCTCGGGGCAGCTAGAGCGCATGTGGTTGCGTGACCTCCACAGCACGAGCCGCGAGAGGCGGGTGTCGCACGACAACAGCACTCCTACTGGACTCTGGTTCGTCCCCATACTGCTCGCATCCAGCCACAGCTCCTCCAGCGACGCGCTGTGGGCCTGGAGCAGCGAGTACAGTGTGCGTCGCGGAAGGCCGCCGACACTGAGCCACTTGAGGCTGCTGCGCTCCAGGGTGGGCAGCACGGGCAGCAAGGGCTTCAGGACGCAGGGCTCCGTCGCGCCCAGATCCATCCGTCGCAGTCGCGGCATGGCGTGCACAGTCCGAAGGTGCTCCTCGCGGACGTTGTAAACGCAAAGCTCCTCTAGCGAGGGGGCGGCACTCCGAAGCACTTCTAGGGTCCAGGCAGGGTCCACGTGGCAACAAATGAATTCCAACCGCCGAACCTGCACAATCACGGTGTCAACGAGAACGAGCGGGGTGAGGCAGAGCCATGAAAACCATGCGCCGAGAACAGCCCGCAGAACTCACCCCTCGCTGTTGCACACTTTCCAAGGTGGCAGACTTCTCCTCCTGCCGTATCCCCGGCGCAGTCCTGCAGAGGTCACTCAAGTCGAGGCTCTGAATGCACCCTTGTATGGGTGGCGACGCTCTCTCGGCGGCCTGGGAATCCTGCAGAAGGAAGAGACTTAACTTTGGACTTTGCGAAGCCCGCTGGTTGACTGCATTGCAAGTTGTGAAGAAGAAAGTTACGAAAAAGAACTGGTATGAGTCTCATTGTGAACAATCTGGTTCGCAACGTTGCGTTGGGGACCAAATTCTTCGCAAGGTCTTGTCGCCGCTCGAAACCTACCCTGGCTTCCTCCTGCGTGCCAGCTTCCTCATGCGTGCCAGCTTCCTCATGCGTGCCAGCTTCCTCATGCGCGCCAGCTTCCTCATGCGTGCCAGCTTCCTCATGCGCGCCAGCTTCCTCATGCGTGGCAGCTTCCTCGTGCGTGCCAGCTTCCTCGTGCGTGCCAGCTTCCTCGTGCGTGCCAGCTTCCTCGTGCGTGCCAGCTTCCTCGTGCGTGCCAGCTTCCTCGTGCGTGCCAGCTTCCTCGTGCGTGCCAGCTTCCTCAGAAGTTTTGGTCCCAGCCTTCCGCAGAAAGGCAGCATCGTCAGAGCCATCCCGCTGCTCGGCTTCCACTTTGAATTCCACAACCGAAACGTCACTAGGACTCGCGGCACCGTTCCCGGAATCGAGAACCTGGCAACAAATACAGGCCATTGGTCACGACGAACGGGCTGCTGAGAGGATGGGCTAACAAAGGACTCGAGAGTTTGCCAGCGAGACCGAAATCTGAAAATGTTTCCTCTTACCTGAGCCGCACTGGATTGGCTGCCACTGTGATGCGCGCCGTGGCTGTCCGAGGACTGCTGGTACAGCAGCGGACTGCGTGGCCTGAAGGTGTCCAGGCTGAAGGCACTCTCGTCAGCAAGGCGGGAAGTAGGGCTGCTGGGAGCACCTGAAAGACGCTTGGCATTAGAAACGCTTTGGTTGCGCTTACTCCGCGGAAATGCAGTCATGCACTTTGGACCGCCACCAACATGAGAAGACTGGGCAGCGGAGTCTCAAGCAAAGACGCAAGCTTACAAAAGAAACCAACCAGCAAGGACAAGTGCAGTGCGAAAACAAGATGTAACTAACACAGGGAAGCAAGATCATCTGAGTCTCAGGTAAAGAATCCGACAAGGTAACATGTACAGTGGAAAACATGGTAGGGAAGAACGGTTAACACAAGGAAACGTTAGCGAAAACGTTTTACTACCTCACGAGCTCACGAGGAATCAACCATCGAGTAAACTGATCATTGCCATACGGGGTTTATGTCAGGCATCTGCAATGTGCAGTGTACATGGTGGCCGACGCCACGCGAAGTCACACGCGTTGACACTTGTTCCTGGAGTGCACGATATGTTTAAAGTTAAATCTAGTTCCAGGTTCGGCCACATCGGCCCGCAGCCACGGCAGCTCCGCGGACGCACTGTCGGGCAGCGGGAGCAGGGAGCGTCCAGGGAGTGCACTGGCAGGCAGCCGCTCGAGGCGCCCCGCAACACAGTGGGCAGCGCGAGTGGCAGTGCGTCTGGCGCCTCGGCAGATTCCAACCACATCCGCCGCAGTCTGGGCGTTGCGTGCGGCGCCAAGGCGGTCATCGTTGGGGTTCCGGGCAGCAACCTCCTCCAGCGCAGCGACACCACGCAGCACGTCCGGGACCCGCGGTGGCGGCAGGGCAGCGGCACCTGCAAAGGAGGCACGGCGTCAGAACCGCTTCCAGGCGGACAGAGGGCATGAAGGCAACCAAAATGAATCTATAGTATTTCGAACTATGTGTATAAAAATTGTAAAAAAATACAACTCGTTGTGTTAAGATAGCAGTTGTCAATACGATTTTGTTACACTCTAAGTAAGGACGATTACGTCAAACTTGAGCTTGTAGAACTCATCGTGAAGCTATAAAGCTTCAACCGTTGAGAAGCTCCGGGCTGGTAACGCCTTGCAACATACTGACCTCGTTCGAAGCAAAGAAGATGAGCAACCAGCGTGCAGCTAAAATTGATTTCAACCATCGTGTACGTATAGAGTTCATTGCTGCAAGTTGTAAAATAAGGCATTTGTTTTTTGCAATCATGATGACAAGGCCACCGCTGTGCGAAGTCGACAGTTCAAAAATGGCTTTTTACTCATGGTTTAATTCACGCTATATACACAGGAAGTGCTTAATAAAGACGACATTAGAGACTTGATTTGCAATAAGTCCAAGGGTACATAACATAATGGAAGAACATTCCAAGAAATATTTGGTCAACCGAAAAGACCTCGCAAGTCGTCGAGACTGTAAAAAACGATTTACTAGTTACATTTGACGCTGCAAGAGCGGAATGAAGTATCTTAAGACGCGCAAATTTAACAGAACCTTTTCACAAAGGATCTTAAAGTAAAGTAATGAAAGCGCTTTAACTGAGATAGAAGTCGGCACATCGCAAACATGCACAAGACAGGAGGAACGGCGAAACATGCTAGGCGTACAAAATTGGCGAACAATTCAACAAAACATTTACAAAGTAGTCTTTATCACACAAGTTACTGATTAAGTAATGATTGGCTGTAAGTGCAAGTATGAAAATTGCCAACTTTCTTGAGGTGACCAGGCTGCGAATTTCTTCCTGTGCTACTTTTACTAGTTTTGATTATCCCCTTAGTGAGTTTTCCTGTGCCTTTTTAGAACATTTGATGCGGAGAACTTCTTTCCGCACTCGTCACACTGGTGCGGCTTCTCCCCTGTGTGGATCCTCTTGTGCACGTGAAAATGGCTTGGATCAGAAAACTTTTTGCCGCACTCGTTGCACTGGTAGGGCTTCTCGCCGGTGTGGATTCTCTTGTGAACTTTAAGATGACTTGCAACAGAAAACTTTTTTCCGCACTCTTCACACTGGTGCGGCTTCTCCCCAGTGTGGATCCTCTTGTGCACATGAAGATGGCTTATATCAGAAAACTTTTTCCCGCACTCGTTGCACTGGTAGGGCTTCCTGCCGGTGTGAATCCTCCTGTGGACTTGAAGAATATTTGACCGAGAGAACTTCTTTCCGCACTCATCACACTGGTGCGGCTTCTCCCCAGTGTGGATCCTCTTGTGCACGTGAAGATGGCTTATATCAGAAAACTTTTTCCCGCACTCGTTGCACTGGTAGGACTTCTCGCCGGTGTGGATTCTCTTGTGAACTTTAAGATGACTTGCAACAGAAAACTTTTTTCCGCACTCTTCACTCTGGTGGGGTTTCTGCCCGGTGTGGATTCTCCTGTGAACTTTTAGACTAGGGGTACGCGCCGTTTAGTTTGGGCGCGTAGTAGGCGAGCGATGCGATGCGTCTGAACACATTCTTATAGGAGATGGCGAAGAATATGTGCACAATAAGGCCAGTAGAGTGTCTTCCGTCACGAATGGGCCGGAATTCATGTCATTCTCGTGATTATCTTACTGAAAACTGCAGGAAACAATGGGAAACTCAACTTTGAAATTTTGGTCACAAATTGGTAAATTTTGGGAAAAGTAAAGGTCTGGGATGAAATTGGAAGTCATTTTCGTGATCAGCACACCAAAAACTGCAGGAAACTATGTAAAACTCGACTCAAAAATTTTGGTCCAAAATTGGTAAATATTTGGAAAAGTAAAGGTCTGAGATGAAATTGGAAGTCATTTTCGTGATCAGCACACCAAAAACTGCAGGAAACTATGTAAAACTCGACTCAAAAATTTTGGTCCAAAATTGGTAAATATTTGGAAAAGTAAAGGTCTGAGATGAAATTGGAAGTCATTTTCGTGATCAGCACACCAAAAACTGCAGGAAACTATGTATAACTCGACTCAAAAATTTTGGTCCGAAATTGGTAAATATTTGGAAAAGTAAAGGTCTGGGATGAAATTGGAAGTCATTTTCGTGATCAGCACACCCAAAACTGCAGGAAACTATGTAGAACACGACTTCAAAATTTTGGTCAGAAATTGGTAAATTTTGGGAAAAGTAATGGTCTGGGATGAAATTGGAAGTCATTTTCGCAATTTCTAAGTGTGTTTCCTGTTCATTGTGTCGTAACATGAACCCTGACACTGTTACTCAGTCGAGTAACATTCAACAGCCAGCATTGAATTACTTAATACGATTCACAAATGCTTCAATTACCATTCGATATCTCCTTGTTATTGAACTTATGAATACACAATGTTATAAGTAATACCTAAAAAGCCTTTTATCTCCCTTTTATTTTAAACTAGTGGATAAAACTACATTGATTTATCTCAATTTATTAAAAAGAGACACATTTACAGGCAGGCTGATTGCAACTACTTTACGGAGAAGACCTTCTGTCAGATCCAATGAATCGTTCCATTTAATTCAATGTCGAGCCGACTTATTGCTAAACGCAAGTTAATCTTATTCATAAAGATAGTCATGATGTGATATTTAATCTTTAAAACAGTATAGCATAAGTATTTACCTAACATTCTGAATAAATTAAAAAGACAGCCAACTCAAACCATGACTGACACAAATTACCAGTTGTCGCAGACAATGTATGATGAATTTAAAAGAATCGTCTCATGAAATCATATGACCAAGTCACTGAATCGTCTCATTGAATCAGATGTCAAAGTCAAACCATGTATGCGCTACTCTCACTCACCATATAGTTATCTTTAAGGTTAGTACTATAGTAAACTTACAGCATTGCTATGAAGCCTTTCCCCAGAGTCAGTGCCAAGAGTCAGCAAAGACCATTTATTTTGGCAAGATTAGTGTCTGGTTTGTACTTTTAGATTGCATTGATCTATTTTCTAACTGTTATTGAGCAAAGCAAACAACTAAAAAGTATAATGTCTGAGAATAAAAATGGAAATACACTCTCAAAACTTAAAAAGACCAAATCATTCTTGCAATTATCAAACGATCAAACACACTCCACTGACTAAAACATTTCCCCTGTGGCGGGGGAGGGGAGGGGGCGGACGGACGGACGAAACGCATAATAATTGTCACTTTCATTTTCCGTGTTTCACTGTCTTGACACTCCGGAGGGGTTTCAATCATTCTAGAATATCGAAAAACTAAGACCGAACTCACTTCTAAGCCCTTCTCCTCTCTATTTTGTTTTATTTGCCAATGTTTTGCCAGTCCCGTATTTGAGAGCCGCGGCCGCAAGTATGAAAAATTGCTATATATGCTGCCAACCTAACCACGCTAAGAACCTAATTCAAAAAGATGTTTTGAATATTTCAAACGGTAGTAATCGTGAATATAAGATAAACTCCCCCTGTGGGACCTTTAGGGGATGTTCGGGGCAAAATTTGGTAACTATTAGTGTTGTAGTTGCTGAGAAACGTGAGCGTGTACGCTACAGACAGACAGACAGACAGACGCACGACCAGTCACTTTTTGGAGCGCCCAAACACGGCAAGGGCTCGCTGTCGCTCGCCAATTACTTGAATCGGAAAACTTCTTTCCGCACTCTTCACACTGGTAGGGCTTCTCCCCGGTGTGGCTCCTCTCGTGCCTGACAAGATCCTTTGCACTAGTGAACCCCTTGCCGCACAGCCCGCTCGAGTGCGGCCCGCCCTTGGCGTGCCTCGCCAGATGCCGCCTCAATGCCGCCTCCGCACCAAAACACTCGCCGCACTCTCCACACTTGAAGCCGCGGCGCGCCTTCCTGCCTGCCTCCCTGCGCGAGGCCTGCTCCACCGGGACTGCGTCGCCAGCCGGCACTGCCAGCGAGAAGGTCTCGGCGATGAGGAGCTGCTGGGCCTCGTCCGCAGCCACGCCTGCAACCGAGGGCACGCTGAGCCAGTCTGTCTTTGTGGAACCAAACTTTGCACCGCGCCATGCCTCACCCTGGACGTCGCTTTCCGAGTCGCCACCTCGGCAGGCCGCGCCGTGCTGTGTGTGCAGGTCCTGCGGGGAGAGCAGCGGGATGAGGCAGAGCCATGAATATCCACCTACCATCAAACGCAATACGTATAACACCGAAAAAACGGTTCCTGGTTTTCCCAGGTGTACTATGGTGAAGACCTAGGCGATTTCCAGTGAGTTTCTGGGAAAAGCAGGGACCGTTTTTATTCTGCAGATCCTGGCACACGGTAACATTTGGGAGATCCACCCAATAGCCCGGAGAACTTACCCGCTGCAGCTGGAAAAGTGGCAAACTGGGTGGAGCAGCACTAGGGCTGTCGAGGCTCCGAAGACACTCCTGGACAGAGGGCACGGCTTCCGCTGCGGCCAGCGGATCCTGCAGAAGAGACTCACTGTTTGAACCACCAAAACATCAACTGTGCCAATTATTTTCTAGTTTTTAAGGTTCTGGTACTGGTACACTACAAAATCCACTGTGTACTTAGTATACATCTATAGGAGTGTACTTGCCAGGTACACATCTATAGGAAAATACTTGCCAAGTACGCATCTATAGGAGTATACTTGGGCAAGTATACATCTATAGGAGTACACTTGGGCAAGTATACATCTATAGGAGTGTACTTGTGCAAGTATACACCTATAGGAGTGTACTTGGACCGCCTATCCGCTTTCACAAGTATACTCCTATAGGTGCATACTTGCCCAAGTACACTCTTATAGATGTGTACTTGTCAAGTATACTCCTATAGATGTATACTTGCCCAAGTATACTCCTAAAGATGCGTACTTGGCAAGTATTCTCCTATAGATGTTTACCTGGCAAGTACACTCCTATAGATGTATACTAAGTACACAGTGGATTTTGTAGTGTACCAGTACCAGAACCTTAAAAACTAGAAAATAATTGGCACAGTTGATGTTTTGGTGGTTCAAACAGTGAGTCTCTTCTGCAGGATCCGCTGGCCGCAGCGGAAGCCGTGCCGTCCGTCCAGGAGTGTCTTCGGAGCCTCGACAGCCCTAGTGCTGCTCCACCCAGTTTGCCACTTTTCCAGCTGCAGCGGGTAAGTTCTCCGGGCTATTGGGTGGATCTCCCAAATGTTACCGTGTGCCAGGATCTGCAGAATAAAAACGGTCCCTGCTTTTCCCAGAGAGCAGCGGGATGAGGCAGAGCCATCAATATCTATCCACTGGCAAACGCAATACAAAACCGAAAAAAACGGTTCCTGGTTTTCCCAGGTAGACTATGGTGAAGACCTAGGCGATTTGCAGTGAGTTCCTGGGAAAAGCAGGGACCGTTTTTACGCTGCAGATCCTGGCACACGGTAACATATGGGAGATCCACCCAACAGCCCGGAGAACTCACCCGCTTCAGCTGAAAACGGGGCAAACTGGGTGGAGCAGCACTAGGGCTGTCGAGGCTCCGAAGACACTCCTGGACAGAGGGCACGGCTTCCGCTGCGGCCAGCGGATCCTGCAGAAGAGACTCACTGTTAGAACCACCAAAACATTAACTGTGCCAATTATTATCTAGTTTTTAAGGTTCTGGTACTTGAAGTTAAATTGCAAAGCATTGAAAGTTGTGAAAAATTTACTTCATTATACGACCTGGATTTAAACTACGAACAAATTTCTGCAATGCGTTTCGAACGACGTACAACAAACTAAACTCCCTGTAAATTATTCAATGAACCGAATTATTCACCAGGTCAAGGCCGCTGGAAACCTACCCTGGCTTCCTCGTGCACGCCCGCTCCTTCCTCAGACTTCATCGTCGCAGCGTTCCAAAGAAAGGCCGCATCACCAGGGCCTTCCCGCTGCTCGGCTTCCACATTCAATTCCACAACCGTCACGTCACTGGAACTCGTCTCCCCGGAGTCTGGCACGTCCTGCTCGAGCAAACAATTGCACAACATTCAGTGGTCGCGTTAAACGTTCTGACGAAGGACTCGGGAACTCGTCGACCTGAAACTTTTCTTTTACCTGAGCTGCTCTGGATTGGCTGCCACTGTGATGCGCGCCGTGGCTGTCCAAGGACTGCGGCTGGGACAGCAGGGGACCGTGTGGACCAAAGTCGTCCACGCAAAAGGCACTCTTGGCAGCAATGCAGGGAATACCTGGAAGGCACTTGGCGTTAGAAACTCTTGGTTTTTCACACCGAATTCACAGCCTCATGCAGTACAAGCAAGCACCCGAAGCATCCAGGACCGCCACCAAAATGAGATTACGGGAGCAGTGGATTTTCATCCACAAAAGAATGCTCAGAAAAGAATCAGACACTCACAAAAACAAGCAGATGGCGTACAGTGTAAACGAAGGTAACGAAAAACGTTTACTAGTTTCTTTTAAGAAAATAAACCACGGCTACAGATGCACCAACAAATATAATTAAGTGGTAGTTATGAAGCGAAAACGTAAGTGAAAACGCTTTGTGCTTCTTCGCGTGGAATCAACCATCGAGTAAACTGCTCATTGCCGTATGGGGTTTGTGTCAGGCATCTACAATGTGCAGTGTACATGGTGACCGACGCCACGTGAAGTCGCAAGTGTTGACACTTGTTCCTGGAGTACACGACATGTTTAAAGTGAAATTTAGCTCCAGGTTCGGCCACATCGGCCCGCAGCCACGGCAGCTCCGCGGACGCACTGTCGGGCAGCGGGAGCAGGGAGCGTCCAGGGAGTGCACTGGCAGGCAGCCGCTCGAGGCGCCCCGCAACACAGTGGGCAGCGCGAGTGGCAGTGCGTCTGGCGCCTCGGCAGATTCCAACCACATCCGCCGCAGTCTGGGCGTTGCGTGCGGCGCCAAGGCGGTCATCGTTGGGGTTCCGGGCAGCAACCTCCTCCAGCGCAGCGACACCACGCAGCACGTCCGGGACCCGCGGTGGCGGCAGGGCAGCGGCACCTGCAAAGGAGGCACGGCGTCAGAACCGCTTCGAGGCGGACGGGGGTCATGAAGACAACCAAAGTGAATCTATAGTATTTCGAACTATGTGTATAAAAATTGTAAAAAGTTACAAATCGTTGTGTTAAGATAGCAGTTGTCAATATGATTTTGTTACACTCTAAGTAAGGACGATTACGTCAAACTTGAGCTTGTAGAACTCATCGTGAAGCTATAAAGCTTCAACCGTTGAGAAGCTCCGGGCTGGTAACGCCTTGCAACATACTGACCTCGTTCGAAGCAAAGAAGATGAGCAACCAGCGTGCAGCGAAAATTGATTTCAACCATCGTGTACATATAGAGTTCATTGCTGCAAGTTGTAAAATAAGGCATTTGTTTTTTGCAATCATGATGACAAGGCTACCGCTGAGCGAAGTCGACAGTTCAAAAATGGCTTTTTACTCATGGTTTAATTCACGCTATATACACAGGAAGTGCTTAATGAAGACGACATTAGAGACTTGATTTGCAATAAGTCCAAGGATACATAACATAATGGAAGAACATTCCAAGAAATATCTGGTCAACCGAAAAGACCTCGCAAGTCGTCGAGACTGTAAAAAACGATTTACTAGTTACATTTGACGCTGCAAGAGCGGAATGAAGTATCTTAAGACGCGCAAATTTAACAGAAACTTTTCACAAAGGATCTTAAAGTAAAGTAATGAAAGCGCTTTAACTGAGATAGAAGTCGGCACATCGCAAACATGCACAAGACAGGAGGAACGGCGAAACATGCTAGGCGTACAAGATTGGCAAACAATTCAACAAAACATTTACAAAGTAGTCTATATCACACAAGTTACTGATTAAGTAATGATTGGCTGTAAGTGCAAGTGTGAAAATTATCAACTTTCTTGAGGTGACCAGGCTGCGAATTTCCTCCTGTGCTACTTTAACTAGTTTTGATTATCCCCTTAGTGAGTTTTCCTGTGCCTTTTTAGATCATTTGATGCGGAGAACTTCTTTCCGCACTCGTCACACTGGTGCGGCTTCTCCCTTGTGTGGATCCTTTTGTGCACGTGAAAATGGCTTGGATCAGAAAACTTTTTGCCGCACTCGTTGCACTGGTAGGGCTTCTCGCCGGTGTGGATTCTCTTGTGAACTTTAAGATGACTTGCAACAGAAAACTTTTTCCCGCACTCGTTGCACTGGTAGGGCTTCTCGCCGGTGTGGATTCTCTTGTGAACTTTAAGATGACTTGCAACAGAAAACTTTTCTCCGCACTCTTCACACTGGTGGGGCTTCTCCCCGGTGTGGAATCTCCTGTGAACTTGAAGATTACTTGAATCGGAAAACTTCTTTCCGCACTCTTCACACTGGTAGGGCTTCTCCCCGGTGTGGGTCCTCTCGTGCCGGACAAGATCCGAAGCGCAACGAAACCCCTTGCCGCACAGCCCGCACGAGTGCGGCCCGCCCTTGGCGTGCCTCGCCAGATGCCGCCTCAATGCCGCCTCCGCACCAAAACACTCGCCGCACTCTCCACACTTGAAGCCGCGGCGCGCCTTCCTGCCTGCCTCCCTGCGCGAGGCCTGCTCCACCGGGACTGCGTCGCCAGCCGGCACTGCCAGCGAGAAGGTCTCGGCGATGAGGAGCTGCTGGGCCTCGTCCGCAGCCACGCCTGCAACCGAGGGCACGCTGAGCCAGTCTGTCTTTGTGGAACCAAACTTTGGACCGCGCCATGCCTCACCCTGGACGTCGCTTTCCGAGTCGCCACCTCGGCAGTGGGAAGTTCCGTCCAACGGGCTCTCCGTCTTCACGTCCGCGCCACCTGCAAGCAAACGCAAGGCTGGAGTTCCTGCAGGCGAGAGAGTCGCTGACCTCGACGCATGCCATTAAGCCGATCAAAAAGCCATGCAATAGCCATTGCAAACTAAAGCTACCGTCACTACCTTCACAGTGTACACCACCTGCGACATGCATAAGAACGAGATCTGCCGGCACCTTTTCTGATATCACGATTTAACCTTCCTGCGAAAGTCGATCGTGCAACCAGAAAGACTTGTTTAGAGGGCTTCATTTCCCATTCCCCACTAAGAAATGTCATGCAGTCATTTTACTAAGATAATTCCCGGTAGTCTGCAACACCAAAATTTGTATCACAGTGAAATTTGTTCGCAATGTGACGAAACGGGTCATTTCTCTTCGCCATACGTTACCACCGTTGCTACGATTCTTAGCCTTTTGTTCGTATAAGCATAAAGAAACTTTATTTTCAAAAATTCAAACACTACAAAACTACATAGGAAATAAAAAAATTAAATTAAATCCAAGTAAAATTTGACAGACATAAGTACATTAGAAAGAAAAAGTTAATATAAAACCAAAGTTAAATTGGACGACGCATAAGGCCTGGCTCATCTTTTAGAGTCTATGAGCACCGTATCATCATTCCGTTAGTGCTTTTTTGACGGTGTCGTCCTCGGACTTGAGTCAACAAATGAACGAACGCGTTTCAAGGATGGCATTTGATCCGTGAGTCATCGCGTCACATTCCGCCTGATTCCGTTGGACCAGGGGTCGGAAACGGCCTAGGGAGCGCGTGAGCCCGTGCGCCCCACCGCTGCCGACGCGCCGCGCGCGGCGGACCGCTCTGCACGGCGGTACTAAAATCGACAGAACTTTGTCAAAACTTCATCAAATCGATCAAACGAGGTCATTTTTGGATTCTACACAAAATTTCCTATCGATTACAGACAATGGTTTAGCGTTTCAAGTGTTTAAAACACGTTATTTTTCAATTATAAGTCAATTTTACCGGCAACCGACAGCCGACTTGATATTTCTCATTCGCTTAAAAAGTGATTTCTGTTTGTTTTAGGTCCATACATGCAGCGAGCCGATTGTTGGCCATAGTTTACCCTGTGGCGTGGTGTGTTTGGAATGTTGATACGACCTCTGGGGCGACCACAGTGATCCAAAACGTAACTTAGACATTTGGTACAAAATTGGTTTTTGCAACTTTGGAGGTTAAAAGCACAGCTTGTAAAAGCGCGTTTGTCATGTTCTATACGCCTAAGCCACCCAGAATTTTATTCTCTATCGCCCTGTGGTAAGGGTTTTGCGAAAGCAGATCAAACTTCAGATATCTCGCAAAAGTTCCGAAACACTACGAAAACGCCGTAACAGTACAAGCAAACGGGGGAGCTTAATGTAAACAAACTATAGCTCGGATTGAAAATCTGACACCACCACGTTGTAGCGCGGACAATTTTACAAGCCATAGTCTAAGCTCATCGCAATCGGACCATCGGTTTGAAAACAGCAGTATATATTCTAAAAGACAGATTTAACGTCGGGTTTGGTCAGGCGGCGGCAGTATGAGAAATTACTGTGGCGGCGCGCTGAACAGGGATTAAGAGATTTGCTCGCTACGTTCAAACCGATGGTCCGATTGCGATGAGCATAGACTATGGCTTGTAAAATTGTCCGCGCTACAACGTGGTGGTGTCAGATTTTCAATCCGAGCTATAGTTTGTTTACATTAAGCTCCCCCGTTTGCTTGTACTGTTACGGCGTTTTCGTAGTGTTTCGGAACTTTTGCGAGATATCTGAAGTTTGATCTCCTTTCGCAAAACCCTTACCACAGGGCGATAGAGAATAAAATTCTGGGTGGCTTAGGCGTATAGAACATGACAAACGCGCTTTTACAAGCTGTGCTTTTAACCTCCAAAGTTGCAAAAACCAATTTTGTACCAAATGTCTAAGTTACGTTTTGGATCACTGTGGTCGCCCCAGAGGTCGTATCAACATTCCAAACACACCACGCCACAGGGTAAACTATGGCCAACAATCGGCTCGCTGCATGTATGGACCTAAAACAAACAGAAATCACTTTTTAAGCGAATGAGAAATATCAAGTCGGCTGTCGGTTGCCGGTAAAATTGACTTATAATTGAAAAATAACGTGTTTTAAACACTTGAAACGCTAAACCATTGTCTGTAATCGATAGGAAATTTTGTGTAGAATCCAAAAATGACCTCGTTTGATCGATTTGATGAAGTTTTGACAAAGTTCTGTCGATTTTAGTACCGCCGTGCAGAGCGGTCCGCCGCGCGCGGCGCGTCGGCAGCGGTGGGGCGCATGGGCTCACGCGCTCCCTAGGCCGTTTCCGACCCCTGGTTGGACGCGCAGACACGCTAAGACAGCCAGACAATTCAAAGTACCTATACAGTTCAAAATACATCGCATACAATACTGGTAAACATGTTTGACGATACAGAAGGATCACACATTTTATTCTCTTGTATAATTTAGAAGCGTGGCGCAAACGTGATTGCCGCACAAATTCGCACGTAATTTTTCCTCAAAGCTGCGCGATTCTAAGCGGTTACAAAAATGCACATTGAGACGGCGAGTCTAGAGATATTCCCACGGAACCCGGTCACAGTCTTTGCACTGCACCAGGGCGCCTGGCAGTGTGCGACGCGCCTTGGCTAGCTGTCCAGGGCAGCCAGAGGGTTGGTGGTGGCCTGAACTCCACAGCACGAGCCGCGAGAGGCGGAGGTCGCACTTGAAGAGCACTTTGAAAGGCTTCGCCTTGGGCTTCGCCCCCGACTTGGCACCGCGACTCACGTCCAGCCACAGCACTCGGAGCGACGCGGCGTGGGCCTGCAGCAGCGACACCAGGGCGGGCTGGGGCAGTCCGCTCACCCTGAGCCACTCGAGGCTGCCGTGCGGCAGGGCGGGCAGCGCGAGCCGAGTCGAACTAGACGCGATCAAATACATCCGCCGCAGCCGCGGCATGGCGTGCACGGTGCGAAGGTGCTCCTCTCGGGGCATCGACACGAAAAGCTCCTCCAGCGTCGGGGCGGCGCGACGCAGCACCTCGAGGGTCCAGGCAGGGTCCACGTCGCAGCGGCAGCGAATGTGCTTCAACCGCCGCGCCTGCACGAACAGCAAGCAGTCAACGGGAGAGCTCCAAGGAGTAACGAATTATGGGCCAGAGTTAAAATCGGGCTTAGGAAAACTGGAAGCGGGCTGAGTTTTTCAAAACATCCCACGACTAACTGCAATGTCCAGTTTGGCCCATTCGACCCTTTCCCAGCACCCGGGGGATCGAAAGTTGAGTCCCAGAGACGAAATCGATCTCTTTTCCTCTTACCGGCTGATCAAGGCATTAATGCAAAGAAACCGAAGTGCGGGTGGGGGGAATCGAATGTACGCACTCAATTCTTGAGGACACTTCTATGAATAATTGTGCATGCACAGTACGTACATAAAGGTGGGTATAAAATGAACACAGTGATGCATAATATTGACACCTTACATTTGTGTCTGTACATTCATAGTTATGCATAACAGATTCATAACTACCCATTAAAACAGTCCACAAGAGTTGAAGTAATGACGGAAGTAACGGTACAGAATGACCATCGTCTGCGAACAACCCGAAAAACTCACCCCTGGTTGCCCCATCCGTTCCAACGTGGCCGCCTTTTCCTCCTGCCGAGTCCCCGGTGCAGCCGTGCAGAGGTCCATCAAGTCCAGGCTCTCGACGCACTGCAGGGCAGACGGCGTGCCTTCCGCTGCGGCGTGCGAATCCTGCAGAAGGGACAGCCACTGACACAAATTCGTATTGCACCCCTCCCTGCGCGGAGCAATGTTCAAATTGCGAAGAATTCGGCTTCCTTGGAAGTGTCAGAAGAATCCGTAACGGGAATAAAATGGCCTGCAGCGTTCTGAAGTAAGTGTCAGCAATAATGAGATTCTGCGCACATTCTTCGCAGCCGAGTTCTTTGCAAGGTTCCAACGAGTGCTTTGCAAGGTTCCACGATACCCACCCTGGCTTCGCTCACGCCTGCCTCTTCACAGTGGACAGGCAATCGGGACGCGAGAAGCGGGCTGCGGGGTCCAAAGTTGGCCACGCTGAAGATACTCCTGACTGCAATGCGGGCGGCAGGGGCGCTAGGACCACCTGAAAGACACTTGACGTTACAAACGCTTGGTTTTAAATGCCTCCATCACGCAGACGCATGCAGGACTGCCACCGAATTCGGAAAACTGGAGCAACAGAGTCCCATGCACACACGCATGCGTAAAAAATATCAGTCACGCACAAAAAAAGCGGAGCGGAAATCAGTGCAATCTTAAGTGAATGAGAAGAATCTCGTTTGTTAAAAAATACAAACAAGAAGCCATTTGCAACCAAAAAAATAAATAACGAGAGGTTCTGAAGTAAAATCCTAAGTGAAAACGCTTTGTGTTTCTTCGCGTGGAATCAACCATCGAGTAGACTGCTCATTGCCGAATGGGGTTTGTGTCAGGCATCTGCAATGTGCAGTGTACATGGTGGCCGACGCCACGCGAAGTCACACGCGTTGACACTTATTCCTAGAGCGCACGATATGCCCGAAGTTAAATTTAGCTCCAGGTTCGGCCCCATCGGCCCGCAGCCACGGCAGCTCCGCGGACGCACTGTCGGGCAGCGGGAGCAGGGAGCGTCCAGGGAGTGCACTGGCAGGCAGCCGCTCGAGGCGCCCCGCAACACAGTGGGCAGCGCGAGTGGCAGTGCGTCTGGCGCCTCGCCAGATTCCAACCACATCCGCCGCAGTCTGGGCGTTGCGTGCGGCGCCAAGGCGGTCATCGTTGGGGTTCCGGGCAGCAACCTCCTCCAGCGCAGCGACACCACGCAGCACGTCCGGGACCCGCGGTGGCGGCAGGGCAGCGGCACCTGCAAAGGAGGCACGGCGTCAGAACCGCTTCGAGGCGGACGGAGGCCATGAAGGCAACCAAAAAGAATCTATAGTATTTCGAACTCTGTGTATAAAAATTGTAAAAAGTTACAACTTGTTGTGTTAAGATAAGTTGTCAATATGATTTTGTTACACTCTAAGCAGGGGGTGGCAACAGCCTAGTGCGCGCGTGAAGCTATGCGCGCCGCTCGGGCCGGCAAGGAGCGGCCGGGCGGCTGGGCCGCGCGGCCGAACCAAATTAAACAGAACTTTGTCAAAACTGCATCGAACTGAGTAAACGAGGTCATTTTTAGATTCTACGCAAAATTTCCTATCCGTGAGTGACAATGGAATGGACTTTTGGATATGTGAAACAGTTCTAAAATCAATTTGAAAACCAAATTTACGGCACCAGACAGCCGACTTGAAGTTTCCCTTTCACTAAAAAAGCTATTTCCGTTCGTTTTAGGTCCATACATACAGCGAGCCGATTGTTGGCCACTATTTTCCGGGTTGCGTGGTACACTTGGAACGCCAATACGACTTCTGTAGCAGAAATGCCGATCCAAAAACTAATTTCCATTTTTGGTCCAAAATTGTATTTTGCAACTTTGGAGGTTAAAAGCACAGTTTGAAATAGGTTTCTCAGCATTGTCAACCTCACTAAGCAACCCAGAATTCAATTCTCTATCGCCCTGCTGTGTCGGATTTGCAAAAGGAGGTCAAACTTCTAATTGAAACGAAAAGGCCCGAAGCGCTGCGAAACCGCCAAAACAGTTCAAGTATTTTGTGGAGCTTAATGTGTGAAAAATATTTCTCAGATTGTAAATCCAACCACACCACCTTGTAGGCCAGTCAATTCTACAGCTCCATGGTAAGTTTCATCGCAATCGGAGACCAAGAGTGAAGGCGATTAGTTTGATGACAGCATTCAATATTCGGCAACTATGACGACATACCCGCCGCAGCGATTTCTCATACTTGGGCTGCGTGACCCGACTCGTCGCCAAGCCCAAGCGTCGTCTGCCTTTTGAAATATCTTTGAAGCATTCAAACCAATCAACCGATTGTGATGAAACTTGACGGGGGCATGTAGAATTGTCCGCTCTACAACGTGGTGAAGTCAGATTTGCGATACGACACCTAGTTTCTTCAAGTGAAGCTTTACCAAATACGTGTACTTTTAGGGTTAGTTTGCAGTGTTTTAAAACTAATTCGAAATGTGAAAACTGAAACGTCCGTTTGAAAAACCGTTACCACAGGGCGATAGAGAATTAAATTCTGCGTGGTATAGGCTATTGCAGAACGATAAACAAGTGCGAAAGAGCTACGAAAAATATTCCCAAAGTCAGTCTAACTGCTTTTGGTCTAATTTTGCAAATTACATTATGGGCCACCGTGACCGTCACAGATGTCGTATCGGCATTCCAGTATGCTTACGCAATAGGGGAAGTGGAGGCCAACAATCGGCTCGCTGCATGTATGGACCTAAAACGAACGGAAATCACTTTTTTCGTCGTTGCAAAATATTGAATTGGCTAAAATTGCCGGTAAATTTGATTATAAATTGAGATTTAACATTTTGAACGGGTCTAAAACTGTAAACCATGACTACATACAAATAGGAAATTTTGTGTAGATGCTGAAAATGACCTGGGTTTTTCAATTTGATGAAGTTTTGATGAAGTTATGTTGATTTTAGTGACACCGTGCACAGTGGTCGGCCGCGCGTCGCTCGCCGGCCCGAGCGGGGAGCATCGTTTCACGCGCCGCCTAGGCCGTTGCCACCCCCTGATTTGGGTGACGAGCCCGCGGTGACCAAATTTTGGGCAGTCATAAAATCGTCGCCCAAATTTGGGTAACGCCGTCGGCGACGCCGCAAGGTCCCCGATGACGCTCTTCCGGGGCCACCACGATGACCCAGTGTGGCGTTGAGGCCTCCGGTCATCTTGGTGGCCCCGGAGGGACGCCATCGGGAACCTCACGGCGTCGCCGACGGCGTTACCCAAGTTTGGGCGACCAAACGCCTGTTACCAAATTTCGGGTGACGAATTTTTCGTCACCAAAATTTGGGCAACGAAGTTGCATCACCCATTTAAAGGGTGATGGTGGTGACCAATTCATTCTCGGTGTGGCCTTTTTCCAGGAGCCACCTTAAAAACAACATGTTGAAGTAAGGGCGACTTTTCGCTTGAAACCATCCATCGAGTCAACTGCTCACAACCAGGGTTTCATGTCAGGCACCTGCAATGTGCAGTGTACATGGTGGCTGACAACACGCGAAGTGCCAACTGCTGACACTTAATCCGTCAGTGCACGATATGTTTAAAGTTAAATTTAGTTCCGGGTTCGGCCACAGCAGCTCCAGGTTCCAACCACATCCGCCGCAGTCTGGGCGTTGCGTGCGGCGCCAAGGCGGTCATCGTTGGGGTTCCGGGCAGCAACCTCCTCCAGCGAAGCGACACCACGCAGCACGTCCGGGACCCGCGGTGGCGGCAGGGCAGCGGCACCTGCAAAGGAGGCACGGCGTCAGAACCGCTTCCAGGCGGACGGAGGTATGCTGCCTTCCAAGTAGTTAGAAGTTTATCCACATTTTAACAATGTTGTTACGGTTAACACACACAAATTGTCGTTAAAAAGGGACACTATTCAAATGATTTTAGATAACTTAAATGCACTTAAAAAGCTCAACTTCAGTATACTTACAACTAGAGGAACATCAATCTCAAACTTATGTTAATGCTTCTTCGGTTGAGAAGCTCGGGGGGGGGGGGCGCCTTCCATAACGCAGTTCTAGTTCCTTTAAAAAAGAAATGAAGAAGACAACAGCGCAGAGAAAACTGTGACCAAATAAAGAACGGTTATGGTGAAGTTAGAATACGAGGTGCTCCATGTGGTGTCAAGCATCGAGTAAACTGCTCATTGCTGTGTTTTATGTCAGGCATCAGCAATTTGCAGAGTACAAGGTGGCTGACGCAACGCGAAGTAAGATTAGTGACACTGATATGTATTATGAGAGGAAACGATGTTTAGAAGGTTAAGGTACCGCTACCGCCATTAAAATGGGGGAACTTTTATGTATAGTACACTGAGATTTTATTAGCAATAAGCAAAACAGCACAAAAACTAAAACTGAAGAGAAACACGTTTTGAGAGAAAAAGGGTGAGGCTAAAAGGCCCAGCCAGTCTTCGGGAGTCCACATGTCGCACGATTACACTCCGTCATGCTTTACATTCTAACGCCGGACACAGAAGGACGCTCAGACACCCTACGCAGCCAGACCGGACTGCCATTCCACGAATAAGTCGAGTTCTATTTGTTAGGAAGCGAGTTTTGTCGCGTTCCCTTGCGTGTGATATCACATTCGTCTGAGAGTCGATCCACGTTCAGACGAATGTGACGAACACAATCAAACGAACGCGACAAAATAGACGCTGTTACGAATTCGACGCCCGGTCCGTTGAATCACACAGTGAGAGCGCGCACGTCGCTCCGCTGCCGAATTCCGGATCAGCCACAAACGCTCGTATGGTCCTCTCCCGCGACTTGCAGCTACGCCACTGTCGGGCGCGAAGCGTACTAGAAGTCTTCCTTCTCCACCTTGTTGCACTTCTGGCACAGCACCGCGGCGCCGGGCAGCGCGTTGAGCACGGCCAGCACCTCCCTGGAGCACGCCAAGTAGGAGTGGAAGTCGGCCGGGGGGCACAGCACGACCCGCGGCACGCCCAGGCCGCTCTGGCGCAGCACGTCGCTGGCTCTGGGGCCCAGCGTGCGCGTGCCCAGCCACAGCACGTCCAGTGTGGCGGCGTGCGCCCGCAGCAGCGACAGCAGTGTGGGCCGCGCCAGCCCGTCCGCCCGCAGCCACCGCAGCCCGCCCGCGTGCTGCAGCGCGCCCAGCACCACGGGCTGCCTCGGCTCGGGCGGCGCCGCGGCACCGGAGTCGTCCACGTGGTCCAGCAACTCCAGGCGGCCCAGTCGCGGCATCGCGTGCAACGCCCGCAGGTGGTCTGCCCGAGGGTCCCGCACGGAGGCCTCCTCCAGCCGCGGGGCGGCGGCTCGCAGCACCTCCAGCACCCAGGCAGGGTCGCGGTGGCAACGCACGTTGGTCAAGCGGCGAACCTGCACACCGGGAAGGACGAAGACGTCAAGGAACAGGGACTGCAGTGCACGCTCAACGTACAAATTATTCTTAGTAAAAGGTCTACGAAGAATCGCTTCGTAATACGAAGAAAATAAAGGCATTGTCAAATCTACGAAAATATTGCTTCGTATTATGAAGCAAAATCCTTTGTAATATGAAGCAATTCTACAAGGCCTTTACTTTCTTTGTAGTTATGAAACAAATGCTTTGTAGGCTTTAAAGAGTGTGCAGTTTGTTATACGAAATGTTAGTGCCTTAGTTATTACGTAATTTCTTTGAAAACTAATGATATGCTCAAATTCTTTCGTTATACCAAGCTACTTTTGTTTGTAACGTCTAAAATTGATCCAGGAAGCGGAAGGAGGGAATATCTCAACTTATCTCTAATTTAAGTTTTCATTTTCATGTTGTGCCTTATGCTGGTTTACATCATTGCACCAAATTATTTGACTGAACTCCCAGCACTTTCAGAGGAAAATCCACATTGAAAAGGATATAACCCAACATGACGGTTTTTACGTTCTAGATTTAGCGGAAAATGAAAACTAATTGACCCACATGACTCCATTGAAAATAATGTCAATAGGAGATAATTCAACTTGCAATTTTATAAATCTAGCGTCAAAAGAGTCGAGTCAACTTAAGCCCTGTACAGTTAAAGAACTGCAATGGATAATAGTACCAAGTCCAAAATATACACGCACTCTAACAAACAAGTAACAAGCACTCTCTACTGACTGTAGCTCCACTTGACTTATCTCCAAATTACACTCTGTTTAGGAAATACACACTGAGATGACTCAGTTTTCCATGTAAACGGAAATAGTTTAGTCACAGAAACCCTCTACGGAATGACCTGCAACTTTTGATGTTTTTCCCTAAATTCAACTCATGTCCTTGAACTTGTTATCATCTATAACACTCATTTGTTCAGTTTTAGTTTTCCCTGCTGTCAGTTTTTTTTTGTTTCCCCTGAAAAACGGCCAAAATGGAGTTATCCCCTTCTTCCGCTTCCTAAATAGTAAGCTTAGGAGCAGTTCAGGACGCCAGAAACGCGTTGCGCCGTTTCCCAGGCGGCCCATAGGTACAAATTGCCTTTAAGTAATGCGTTCAAATTTCTACGCGAAGCACGTATGCGCAAAATCACGTGAGGCCACGTACTCAAGTGTCCGAAGGGAATTTAGAGTACGGACAAGAGAGAACTCACCCCTCGCTGCCGCAAGCGTTGCAGTGTGGCTGCCTTCTCCTCCCGTCGTTCTTCCGGCGTCGCCTCCCAAAGATCCTTCAGGTCGAGCTCTTCAATGCACTCCTGCTGGGCTGGAGGCGTGGCTGCCACTGTGGGCTGCGGTTCCTGCGGTCAGAAAAGGGGAGCTGAGTACTGGAACCGACATGAACACGTCACATTAAATGTGTTTGTACAAATTTTGTACGAGACATCACAGTTTTTCGTGTACACGAACTTTTCGTACAAATTTGTGCAAAATTTTGTACAATTTTGTACAAAAATGGCGAAAAATGTGCAGTTTTTCGTACGAAAATTGTACGAAAATTTCGTGTGCACAAAAAAACAGTGATGTCTAGTACAAAATTGTAAGCAGAACAAAAACCGGAAAGAGTAACCTACAGCAACCAATTGGCAGGTTGAAACGAGTTTAAATCATAAAATAAACTCTGCGTAAAAAACAAATTTGCGACTTGAGGGGTCTGTTTTCGGTTCTCCATTTAACCTATTCCTCGTCACACTAAATGTTTTGATACAAAATGTGCACGAGACATTCCAATCTTTAGTGTACACTGACTTTTCGTACAAACGTATACAGAATTTTGTACCATTTTGTGCAACACTGGCGAAAAATGTGCAGTTTTTCGTACGAAAATTGTTCGAAAATTTCGTGAGCACAAAACATTGTGATGCCTCGTACAAAATTGAGCATAGCATTTAGTGAGTTCACACCCACGCTCCGGTATGGAAGAGACTGAAACCCACCTTCCTCTTCACCATGATTACTTTTCCAGGTTGGGCGAGGGACTTGGGTACCAGAAGATAGTGGAATTGTCCAGAGTTGTCGTGGCGAAGGGACGCCTTGACGATGACATGTCCTGCAGTCGCGGCGGCAGCACCTGGAAGGAAACCAGAATTAGTACCGCAGGGGCAGAAAGGTTCCACCAACACCAACGTGCCCGCGCCTCCAGGACCGTCACCGATAGGAAACCAGTCAAGACCATTCAAGCTGGAGGAGCAAGAAACAACCCTTTCCCATTTACATCAAAAGCAGCCAAAATACCAGCCTCATCGCGGGGGAAACGGTTACTGAATACACATCGCTAGGTGAGCATAGCCCGATAATATATGACTGCCCTGTTTGTTTCGAGAAAATTAATCGACTAGCCTGTAGCGCGATGATACAAAAACATGAGAAAACGTAAGTGGAAACAGTTGGTACTAGACGTGGAAGCAATCATCAAGTATACTGCTTATTCTGCTTACGGTGTAAATGTCAGGCCTCAGCAAAAATAAGTGGCGTACACGATGAACGCAGCCACGCGAAGTCTGATGTAAACACTTATGCTACTCGACATTTCAGTATACAATATAACGGTAACATGGACGGGCCCATAAATCGAATTTTTGACAGTACATTACAAAATTGACCCAACAATCAGTGTACAATATAACGGTAACATGGACGGGCCCATAAATCGAATTTTTGACAGTACATTACAAAATTGACCCAACAATACCACACGAGATTGATACAATTCAACTAAAATTAATGCGGCAATACTACAGCACAAAATAAATAGAACAATGGGTTCAAAATTAACTTGACAATACAACAATAAAGCATCAAAGTGATACAATAAAATACACGGAAGCTAGTAAAAACGTCTTGTGCATGAAGTCTTGGATCGAGAGTCATTCCCACGCCGCTCAGGCACACTCTAGGCACTGCACCAAGGCGCCTCCGGAGCTCAAAACACGTTCGGAATTTCGACAGCGTCGTCCGCCGGTTTCCTGGCCCACTGTACGGCGGCACAACGCAGCACTTGAAAGGCCCCGGCACACTGCAAGAAATAACCACAACAAAAGTACACAAATTTCTGGCAATTTTTTAATCAGGAATTTATTTTACTTTTGAAGTACAATTGTTGTACAAAGTACAATGGAACCGGCAAGACGAGTCCATAGGGCGAGCCTGAGCACACGGAGAGGCGTAACGAGCAGAGCATTGCGTGACACATTGCATAGAGCAGAGGGAAAATAGGGTACTTTCGTAGATCCTGAACCGGAAGCAAGCAGACCAGCAGACGCCAAATTAGCCGGAAACTAACCTCTCTTCGGATCTAAAACTATAGCCGAGCTGTACAAATATTGCTCGCGAAACACATTTGCACTGCAAACAATTATCAAACGACTGTTTATGTTCAAGTGTGGCCGATACGTTAAACTAACGTCTCTTTCCCATGTCAAGTTTGGATCTACTTCCGCCAACATGGCGTCTGTGTGCTTCCGGTTCAGGGATCTACGAAAGTACCCTATTCGACGGACGTTATAACAAACTGGTGAATCAAACGCAAAACAAAAAGTGTCGTTTGAGCGTGAACGATTTTTGCCCCTGGAACGGTGTGAATCGTTTAATGCCCTTGGGCATGGCGAGAATTGCTGAAGGACACTTACAGGCATAGTTTGAATGCCCTTCCAAAGGCATTAACGATTCACGCTCTTCAAGTACGTGAAAGACTGTTTAATCCCTTAAGGGCGTTGTTATAGAGCTTATGAAAACCAGTGCAAATACTGGCAAATACTTTAATGCTAGCAAGTTATGAGTGGCTTGGCAGGAACGTGCATTGCACTGAAACTGCAGTGTTGCAGTATCCTCACCTCAGCCACAAGCACTCACCCTCAATTGCTCGTACACGCCTGATGTTGGCTTCTCTTCTGTCCTGAGGTCGTCTCTACCTGAGAGGTTCAAGTCGAACTCCTGAGTACGCTCTTCATCTGCGTCAGGCACTGCGACACTTGCAGTCAGTCTTACGCCGAATCCATCCTGTGGCACAACGGAGCATTAGATGAATTGGGCATGCTGGAAAACCGAATTGTGGTTTCATGAAGACTTTGAGATCAAGCGCAGAGATGGGATAAGGGCGGAGAAGATGCAAACCAGAAGTCGAAACAAAATAGAACGCACAGTAAAACCTATACAAAAAAACGTTTGAAACAAAAAATGAAGGCATTGTGAAATCCACCACACTCTTAAAACCTTACGAAGTATTTTGAGCATACATATAACAAATTACAATACTTTGTTATACGAAGAAATAGTTCGTAAATTACGAAGTATTTTCTTTGTAAGCTTACGAATGCTCAAAATACTTTGATATACAAACTACTTTTCATAGTAAGGCCCAAAATAGTTTGTAAGGTTTTCTCAGTGCAGTACCGGTAATGCTACAAGGTAGGTATACGCCAGACCGCGTCTTGTCGTAACAGGCTTCGCGATATCTCGCGGCCTGTTCCTCCAATCCGCGCCTGGCGTACCTACCTTGGCCTGCGGCGCTAGCCTGCCTTCGGCAGGCATTGACTTGTCCATCGTCGGTTACTTCTTACGTGTTGCATGCTGGGGGGCTCCGCCCCCCAGACCCCCCTTTATTCTAGAAAGAGTTGCTTCATCTACAGATAACACGATCTTGACCCTTGTAACTTTTTAACTTGTCGAGGCTGGGGGGCTCCGCCCCCCAGACCCCCCTTTCTTCAAGACAGAGGTGATCTACCTGCAGAAAACTCGATTTTTTGCCGTTTTTTAGGTGTTTTTCGGCTATAAAAACTGAACTAGTTGAGCTAGGATAGTGAAATTTCGCGTGTGCCGAGCCAAGAATATACCTAATAAGCCTGCAAAATCTCAGCCAGATCGGCCGAGCCGTTCAGGAGGAGTAGTGTACACACACAGACAGACAGACAGACAGACAGACGGACAGACAAAACTTTTCAACCGCACTGGAGTAACAGGCTTCGCTATCGCTCAGCCAATAATGGGCTATTCCAGTGCCGGGAAGAGAGGAAGGAAAGAAGAACACAACTTCCGTCCCCATGTCTGCGGGAGGTTCAGAGGGACAGCGGAAGGCAGCGTAACGTTACGCAAGATACTTCCAATAAGACAGCACATTTACCGATACGGGTAAGTAATGTGGTTCTCTGAGAAACTTTGCGCAGCGTTACGCGGTGGTAGGTTCTGTCCCAGCGTAACGCTGCGCACACTGAAAACTCTACAAAGAACTGCTCTTTGTAGTACAAAGAAAACGCAGCCTTCGCAGCCTGCGAAGGAAATCGTTTGTAATACGAACGATTTTCTTTGAAATACAAAGGAAAAATTCTTCGTGGCCAACGAAGAACTTCTTCGCAGCCTGCATACATACATTAAATAGGGTACTTTCGCAGATCCCTGAACCGGAAGCACACAGACGCCATGTTGGCGGAAGTAGATCCAAACTTGACATGGGAAAGAGACGTTAGTTTAACGTATCGGCCACACTTGAACATAAACAGTCGTTTGATAATTGTTTGCAGTGCAAATGTGTTTCGCGAGCAATATTTGTACAGCTCGGCTATAGTTTTAGATCCGAAGAGAGGTTAGTTTCCGGCCAATTTGGCGTCTGCTGGTCTGCTTGCTTCCGGTTCAGGATCTACGAAAGTACCCTATAGGAGAGCACATTTCAGAAGCACAACCAGCATAGTCGACCCAGCCCAAGGTCTCGCTTCCGGTGACCGTTAAGGGGAGGTTCTGGTGAAAATGCTATTTTCTCCTAAATAGGTCCCACTGTGAAAATTTGTTAAAAATTTGATGTCTTATCAAGTATTTATTAAAATTTTTCATTGGGGAGGCACATTCTATGCCCTGAACCCAGTCGCAGAGCCTTTTTCTCCCATTTAGGCTATAACTTTAAAAATCTTCTTGCGCATACTATTTTGTCGTAAAAGGTTGGCTTAGACATTTTTCACTTCTTCGATTCATTTTTTTAAAATGCCGGCATGCCCATCTCAAAATGTCAATTGCATTTTTATTCGCAAGCTTTCTAACCAAGCATTTCACTAAAATTGATCAAAAATGTACAAAATAGACAAATTTTAGGGACTTTTCAGCTTAAAAAGCTAATAATTAATAATATAATGGAACTTTCGAGCTATGCATGCCGGAATCTTTTGAAAATGAGTCGAAGTGAAAAATGTCAAGGTCAACCTTTTACGACAAAATAGTATGCGCAAGAAGATTTTTAAAGATACAGCCAAAATAGGGTCAAAAAGACTCTTCGACTGGGTTTACAGCCTGGCATGTGCCTTCAAAAGTGAAATTTTAGTCTCCCCAATGAAAAATTTTATATTCCGAACAAATCATGACTGAAGGATCCATTTGGAAAATGGCAAGATTTTCACCAGAACCTCCCCTTAAAACTGCCATGTCCACCCCGAAAGGCCTCCCGCACCAGCCGCCGCGCTCCCCCCGGCCCTGTGGAAGGGGCATTTGGATCGGTCGCAAGAAGCGAGACCGAGACCTTTGGCTGGGTCTGCTATAAATAAGGGTAAAGCAAGAGTTTACCTGTGAAATGTAGCATAATGTTACGCTAGGAGACGAGGTGGGAGGATTCTGGCCCAGCGTAACGCCGCGTTACAATGAGGACGGGGCACGAGGGGGAAATCATTCTTAAAAACTGTGACCCGACTACTCCCTATTACGTTCTATTACGCTATTACAGAAGGCTTATTACGCTCGAAAATATCCAGATTTAGTCTAAAATCGGACCCTAATTAGGGAAAATCTTTAAAAATTTGGCTATTACGCTATTACTATTACGCGTAATACTAGGAATCGGTGACCCGACTATTACGCGAGTGATTTCCCCCTCGACGGGGCACGAAAGTGTCCCTAAGTGCGTAACCTAACTAATAGACCATTCTAGTCGTGGTCGAGTCAAGAAAAAGAAGAATCACAGAAGACAACTTTTTAGCACTTTTACTTTAAATAATTAAGACTCTTTGCTTGGAAGAAGTTAGTGAGAATACTGAACAGTAATATACAGTAAGTGCAACATATTTTCAGTGAAAATATGCAGCTTCCATGCCCTAAATGAGCCTTTTGTGATTCTTCTTGTTCCTCACTCAGCTACTACTAGAATGGTCTATTAATAGACGGCCCCTTTTACCACGCTTTAATTCCACCAAAGCATCGTGCGTATGAATAGGGTACTTTCGTAGAATCCTGAACCGGAAGCAAGCAGACCAGCAGACGCCAAATTGGCCGGAAACTAACCTCTCTTTGGATTCAAAACTATAGCCGAGCTGTACAAATATTGCTCGCGAAACTCATATGCACTGCAAACAAAGTATCAAACGACTGTTTATGTGCAAGTGTGGCCGATACGTTTGACGAACGTCTCTTTCCCATGTCAAGTTTGGATCTACTTCCGCCAACATGGCGTCTGTGTGCTTCCGGTTTAGGTATCTACGAAAGTACCCTATTTGGCAGTGGTGAGCCAAGCCAAGGTGAGGTTGCTCGTGCTACTCGCGCCGTCAGGCTACCCCACCATACCCATAAGGGTATTTAGACGAATCCCTGCACCGGAAGCATATCTGACATTCTGACAAGATTTACACGAGTGTGATGAACAATCCGGGATGTCTATGATTTGCTGCCATCACAGGCGCTTTTAATACACATTCTTTAGCAATTCAGCCATTATATCAGGTTTACCTGTTCTTGTCAGCCAGCGTCGGTTCAACGCAAGCAGCTCTAATCTGGACTGGAAATTCCGTCGGCGAGAGTCCACCCGCCTGACCTTTCCAATTCCCACGCCCACGGCCCATGAGCCGCCTTGAGCTTATTGTATAAGTTAAGCTGTTAATTTGAATTCAAATCGTCCAGGAAAATGTGAAGACCATATAAACACCAGATAGCCTTTATTTACAACGTAACTATTTGCATTACAAGACAATTTTTTTTAAAAATTGATGATGTAAATTGATGTACTTAAAAGTCTCGATTCTAGAAAGGTTCCCACTTGGGTCTGTCACACTGCATGCACTGCACCACAGCGTTCGGCAGCACGCGGCGCACCGCGGAGACCTGTTTACGGCATGACGAGAGGTTGTGCTGCAAGGCGTTGTAATTCACCTTCCTGTTCAGCACGACGCGAGAAAGACGAGCGCCGCTCTGGGCCAGCAGGCCTGCCAGGTCCTCATGTATGTGCTTTGGAGCTTTCCTGGGGACACCGAAAGTTCTGACCTTCAGCCACAGCACCTCCAGCGACGCACTGTGGGTCTGCAGCAGCGACAGCAGGGTGGGCCTCGGCAGCTCATTTCCGATAACTCGCAGCCACTGGAGGCCACCCGCGTGCTGCCGAGCGGGCAGCACGAGGGGCTGCACTCTAAATGTCTTACGAAGAAATTTCCCATATTACGAAGGAAATGGCGCAAGCATAATACGAAGGTGGTTTTTCTTCGTATTACGAAGGTTTTTCTTTGTATCTTACAATGAAAAAGCTAAAAAGATTCGTATTACGAAGGAATATTGCTTCGTATTATGCTTGCGCCGAATTCACTGTAACATACGAATAACATAGGTCAAATTTCATTGTAAGACATTTAGAGTGTGGACATGCTGCTCCACAAGCCTGCGTACAATCACCAATTCCATTCGCCGCAGTCGCGGCATGGCGTGCACCGCCCGTAAGTGCTCCGCGGTGGGATTTCCCAAAGAAATCGCTTCAAGCGTCGGGGCAGCAATGCGCAAAACCTCCCACTCCAGAGACACAAGAGCGGAACCTTGGCACGTGAAGTTGGCAAACCGCCGAACCTGCGCACACAGCACGGCATATTGAAAGGGTACACTGTTTGCCTGAGGCCATGTGGGAATCACTGAAAAATCAAGCGCCCCAATAACAGAGAAGGGTCATGATGATGTCAAATGATTAGTGACAAGATGAAATCATTGCCGGCGGTCGAAGTTAGCGATTTTTGACAACAAGTGCATGTCGATTGATATCCTTTTAATGAATATGATATCTTCTGATGGGAATTTGACACAAAATACCCAGCCAAATTCTAGTCATGGGGGATCACTGATGCAGAGCGTCACTAAATTTAACGAGGGGTGAATCACTCATCGTTCTGGTCTACACATGAGTACATGAGTACGGGTGAGTACACCTTGCTTTACTTAAAAATGTCACAATTTTGAACGTTTCAAGGCTTTATTTAGCGTTTTAAACGTAGCCCAACGATGAATCGGTCAAAAAACTACAGAATTTCGCCCTTTTAAAACTTGTGAGTACACTGAGTACGGGCAAATTTGTACACATGAGTACACTAGTGATTCACACCTCGAAATTTAACAATTTTAGCTCACTTGACGTCAACATGACCTTTTTATGGTCTCTGGGCGTGGTCTAGACCACACCAACTGGTGCGGACAATTGGGTGCCGTTTTGGCCGCATCTGTTAGTGTGGTCTAGACCATGTTCCATTACATGGAAAGAAAGACCACACCAAATGTGGTCTACACTCTAAGACTCGTATTGACTTTTTTCTCTCCATTATTGACTTTTTGTCCTTTGATTACGTAGTTTTTTTTAAGCAGTAACAATATGTAGTATTTCCTTGTACAATATTGTTCACTTTAAAGACTAAGGGAAGGTGAAGCACAATGGGACACTTTTCTTTAAATTGACGTAGGCAACGGAGTATTTGACTAAGAATACCCCAAACTGTCCTCAACGATAGTAAATAATTTAGCTACTAGCCGCTAGGGAGAATTATCACGAGGGTTAAGGGAATTTTCCGTAGCTTTTTGTCACAGTGATGCGTGCCAGAAAAAAAGGGAGGCTTATTTGGCTGTCACAGTGTATTCCTTAGACTGTTCTTTGAGGGTACGAAGAAAAAGACAACTTCTTAGCCAACAAAGTAAATCATTCGCTTATGTTCTTGCACAACCAACCAAATCGTTCGTATCGAAGACGGTTCCCTTCCGGGACTTTGAGGCGATGTTTGCTTGGAGCAAGGAAATCATTTCTTGGTACTTTTTAAAGCTAACTGGGACTGAAAATTCACAACCACTACCAGCTTTTGGCTTCAGCGACCAGCTTGGAAGAGAAAATAAGACAATGCCTTCATCGACCATTCATCTTTCATTATCGAACGCATCTCCACACTCATGCGACTCCTGATTGCGACCATTCGCACTCACCCCTTCCTGGCGCAAGCGCTGTAACACGGCTTCCTTCTCTGTCTGACTTTTGTGGCTCAGGTCATACAAGTTGAGCTCCTCGAAGCTCACCTGAACAGCAGGAACTGCAGCAACCACCAACTGTGGAACAGAGATGAATTTGACCTATAAACTAAAATGCCACACAGCGTCTTGAAGGACACGAAAACACCTATCTTTCGAGCCTACCTCGGCATCGTTTTGCATCGTGGTCGGGTGGTCAGGCTCATCCGGATTCTCTGCCTCCACTTTAAATTCCTCACGAATCGACACGTCACCATGGCTTGAATCACCGTCCTCAGGTTGTGGCATGCCCTGCATCGAACAATACATGTTAAGACAAATATGATGATATTACTCAGCTGATTCTTCTCGTTTCCCCTCACCTGTGCCGCACTGGATTGGCTGCCACTCGCGCCGTGCTCGCTGCAGAACTGTGGCTGGGACGGCAGGGCGGCGCCTTGCCCAAAGCAGTCCACACTGAAAGCTTCCTCCTCGACGGCGATGTGGCGTGCACTAGAACCTGGAAAGAACGAAGGAGTGAGTACCGCTTGGCTGCGTGGAGAGAGGTGCTGCCATTCCCAGCCAGCAAAGGAGTGCAGAGCCACCACCAAACAAGGAACACAGCATTCCATAAAAAAGCATAGAAAGCATAGCCGAAAAAGAAAACAGTCACACACTGAGAAAACCTTACCAACTATTTTGGGCCTTACAAAGAAAAGTAGTTTGTATAACAAAGTATTTTGAGCATACATAAGCTTACAAAGAAAATACTTCGTAATCTACGAACTATTTCTTCGTATAACAAAGTTCATTAGTTTGTTATATGTATGCTCAAAATACTTCGTAAGGTTTTAAGAGTGCATGCGAGGATATTTGGTGCCCGGTCCCTGGGGAAAGTGTTGCATATCTGATGGACGAGTCAACCAACGTACAGTCTGCGAAGTACTGCTTTTGTGTCAGGAATTCAGCCGTTTGCAGTGTATATGGTGGCTGGCATGATTTGGACGGAAATATGTTGCGCAGCGTGAAGCAGGGTTATCAGAGCACAGCATACACAAAGACACTACAATCAAACTTTTCTTTTTAAAGACAAAAGTACCGTGCAGTAAACCAATAGCTAAATTGCGATAGACATCTTTTGTTGACCAAACAACGACTCCTTGGAGCTCCTTGGCTGCCCGCACCGACAGGTTTCGTTATAAAGATAGAGCGAGCCCTTCGACAAACAACATGGCATCAAGGCTGTCTATAATTTGCTGCAATATCACATAAGCGCTTTCACGACACGTTGCTTTAGAAGTTCGACTCTTGGGTTGTACTCGTACTGTTCTCGACAGCCAGCGTCAGTTTGATGCATGTGACTCCAATCCGGGCAGGAAATTCCGGCCGCAAGAGTCCACCCTGCCTGAGCTCTCCAGATAATTTTGCTTCATAACACGAAGTATTTCATCGTAGATTTTACAATGCCTTCATTTTCTTCGTAATACGAAGCGATTCTTCGTTCAGTGTTTACTGTGTGGGGGAAACGGAAGTGTGCTAGGCCAAGCACACTCCCATGTGCTTGTCAAAGCATACGTACTCCTATAGACGTGTTATTGTTCCAACACACTCCTGTGGATGTGTCCGGATGTGCGCTTGTCAAGTACGCTCGCAGATGTGTGCTTAATTACATTCCCAAAGCTGAGTACACATTTGATCTCGTAGTGAACTGCTCTTGGCCCATGAGCTCAGTGTCAAAGTTTCACTATTCAAATCAAGTAGGAAAATGAGAAGACCATATAGATGCCGGATAGCTTTAATGTGCAATTCAAAATTTGCATTAACAGACATTATTTTTGATACACAGGTCTCGGCTCTAGAAAGGTTCCATCTCAAGCCTATCACAATGCTTGCACTGCAGCAGGGTGTTTGGCAGAACGCGCCGCACAGCGGCCACCTGTTCGCGGCACGACGAGAGCGTGTGGCGGCGGGGCGACCTGCACAGCACGAGCCGAGAGAGGCGGAGGCCGCACCGCACCAGCAGGCCCGGCAGGTCGTCGTCCACTGCCAGCGGACGGTACCTCTTCTTGGGGGCTTTGGGTGTATCGACGTGCAGCCAGAGCACCTCCAGCGACGCGCGGTGGGCGTGCAGCAGCGAGAGCAGGGCAGACCAGGGCAGTCCTTCAACCCGCAGCCACTGGAGACCCCCGTCGTGCTGCAGAGCGGGCAGCGTCGTGGGCTGCTCGTCGGAAGGCACGAGAGAGCCGACATGTTCCACCTCCATCCGCCGTAGTCGCGGCATGGCGTGTATAGCCTCAAAGTGCCTTTTGCTGAGGCTTCCAACAGAAATCTCCTCAAGTGTAGGGGCGACACTGCGCAGTACCTCCAAGGCGAAGCCAGGGCTGTCACCGAACAACCCGTTGGTCAGCCGCCGAACCTGCACACATCGAAGGGAGTCAAAAGGAAGAGGCGCTAGAAAAAAATCTACGAAAGCATTTGCCTTGTAACTACGAAGGAAATAAGGGCATTGTGGAATTGCTTCGTAACGGAAGAAATCGAAGGCATAGTAGAATAGAGTATTCTAGTCGTCGCCGATCGAAGAACAAGAAGAAGAACAAAGCCGGAACTGGCCCCGGCAACATAACCTCCCAGACTTCTGTGAGTGGACTAGTTTCTGAGTTTTTTGTGGCGTATATCCTTCATAAGCACTTTTGTTTGTTCCAAACAGTTTTTGACTCAGGAAATAAAAATATTTGTCGACATTTCTCGTTGGAACCGGGTTTGATACCTACTCCGATTCTTCCCGGCTTCCGGTTTTGTTCTTCTTTTTGTTCTTCGATCGGCGACGACTAGAATGCTCTATTGCTTCGGAACATGAAGACATGCTTCGTAAGACGAAGGATTTTGCTTGATAATCCAAAGCAATTCTGCGTAGTACAACGCCTTCGTCTTCTTTACGAATTGATGCTTTGAAGACTTCTTTTCTGTAGGTAAAGTGTCAACCCCAGCATAGTGAGTGAAAACTGCAAAGTCTACAAATTATTTTCTTCATAATTCGAACGAAAATAGGCATTGAAGAATTGCTTCGTTTTATGAAGAAATGCTTCCTATTACGAAGAGCTCTGCTTCATAATACGAAGCGTTTCTTCGTAGATTTTACAATGCCTTCATTTTCTTTGCATTATGAAGCGTGGAATAAATGCACTGGGACCCCGGAGTGTGACATCACGTTCCAGACTCACCCCTCCTTGCTGGCGCAAGAGTGCTAACGCTGCTTTCTTCGCTGGTAGACTTTGGCCTCTTAGAGACCGATACAGGTCCTGAAAGTCGAGCTCCAGAATGCCCTTCTGGACTGCAGGCATCGCTGTTGCAGGGAGCTTTTCCTACAGAATAGAGAAGCAGTGGACGAGTTGAACAATCGTACCACGAACATTTTCAAATGAAAAGACGATATTTACCATAGAGGACCTTCCCCTGGAATTGGTTTCTTCATCGACCTGCTTCTGGACCACATCGTGAGGGTCATCAAGTTTCTCTTCCTTCACTTTAAATTCACAGTGAATCGTCAGGTCGCCAAGGCTTGAATGGCAGTTGTCAAGTTCTGGCATGCCCTGATCAAGCGAACAAAACAGGAATCAGGGAATAAGTCGCAATAACTCGTCGGAAAAGGACACACTTCGACTTAAAACGATACTGCAAATGAGTTATAACCAGGTAACATTTTGAGGGTTAAAAGGTCATTTATGACTGATTTCCATTCAAACGAATGCTCAAAGGACAGGTAATTTTGTCACATTCGTTGTAACGTGGTGTCACGTTCCTACAATGAGAGTGTGCGCTTGAGATTTTAGAATTGCCTCCCTCACCTGCGCCGCAGTGGATGGGTTCCCGTCCTGGTGCCCTCCGCGTTCACTCGAAGCGTGCGGTTTGTAAAGCGGGAGTCCGCGTGTATCATAGCTGTCGAAGTGAAAGGTCCTCTGGACGACGATGTGCGCTGCAGGGCCGGCAACCGCAGGGCCTGAAAAAGAAGACATGGTGTTAGAACCACAAGCTGTCAGACAAACTATGGAGGGGTGCAAAGCCGTCATCAAGGATAGAGGGCAGCTGCTTATATGCATAGAACATGCAAAGCAAACCGGACGCAACTATACAAACAACATGAAAGTACACCGGGGACAGGTATATTCATAGAACATCGAAAAAACATGTGTGAGATCGTGCACCCAAGTGCACCGGGTTTAACAAGCATGCAGATGGGTAATTTACATCGCACTTCCGCGTTGTGCAGTGTACTGCGGCCGACGCAACGTCATTATAAAAACAACTTTCAACCTTTTTTTCAACAAATTTATTGCGTGGACGAACGCACTAGCGCGATGAGGAGGGTGTGGCACAAAGCATTAACACTGTTTTACCTTAATCAGTTCTAGCCTGAACCATAAGGAGATTCATTTTTTTTAAAAACTTAGTCTTCGAAAAGAAAATATTTGCAACAACAGTAATCCTAAAAGAAAGATAAGACGGCAGATGGTTTAAAGATTTAATACGAAGATTTGGTTCACAAATTTACAATTGCTGTTTCTAAAAAAGTTCCGACGGAACCTTCGCACACTTCTGACACTGCACCTCAGTGCCCGGCAGGATGAGGCGTAGTGCTGCCACCTGTGCACGGCAACCCTTTTGCCAATGGCCCTTGCTCGTGTACCTCCGCAACACGAGCCGCGATAGGCGGAGATCGCACTGAGCCAGTAGGTCGATCAAGTCATCAACGGGTTCTCTAGGCCCACTGTGGCACTCTCCGGGAACGGAGGATCTCACGGACGGCAACTCGGCCTCCAGGATCAGGACCTCCAGGGAGGCACTAAGGGCCTGGAGCAGCGAGAGCAGGGTGGGCCGAGGCAGGCCGGCGACACTCAGCCACTTGAGGCCACCCTGAGCCTTGGGCAGCACAAGCGTCGAGAGCGGTGAAGAACGAGGCGCCCTGGAGCTGACACGCATGCGTCTCAGCCGAGGCATGCCTTGCACCGCGAGAAGGTGCTCCTCGCTGGGGTCGAAAATGCAGACCTCCTCCAGCGTGGAGGCGGCACAACAGAGCACGTCCAAGGCCCACGAAGAGTCTGCGTTACACCACACGTTGTTCAGCCGCCGAACCTGGACACACAAACAAGGCCTCGACTCAGTGCACAGTGAAAATTTAAGTCGTCACTTGATGACAATTTTAAGGCTTATTTTTCTTACAACTATGTCATCAAAAAAATTGATGACATGGTTGTTACCCCTATGCAATAAGTATAGGAGCTTTGATGAAAATATCATCAATTTGTGATGAGATTGTCATGATTTGAAAGTGATGAAAATGTCATCCGCGTTTTTGTCATAAGTGACGACTACACAGTGGGTGAAGATGTGTGTGACAAAGGTATACTCCCTCACAACCGTGTGAACCATTTAAGGCCTTGCAAAGAAAAGTTGCTTGTCAAAACAAAGTACTTTGAGCAAGATACTAAGTAAGCTAACAAAGAAACTGCCACTGCTTCGTAATTAAAAAGCTATTCTTTCGCATAACAAACTAAGAAGTTAGCATAAAGCATATGCTACACTTAGTAAGGTTTTAAGCCTGTGATCAGAGGACTTGGTCCTAGCTGTTTGCCGCAGCTCAAATATGAACCCGGTACTGAACCCATCGCCATCGAACGCGAGGGGTGAATCACTCAACGTTCTAGTATCATGGTGTAAATGTTCTGTATTTTGGTGATGCAGCTGACTTTATAACATACCATTGAGAATTCACTGTGTCTTATAGATATTTTGATGAATTTTGATAGTATTATGGAGAAAATCTCCACCATAATATGGTGATGCAGCCTTTCACCGTCTGAAATTTCTAGTGCTCGTCTCAGGAAACCCACTTGCCACCTGCCAGAGCGTGGTGAACTCACCCCTAGCTGCTGCAATCGCTTCAGCGTTGCTACTTTTTCTTCCAGGCTTTCCCCTGGTTCAACTCGGCAGAGGTCATTCAAGTCGAGCTCCTCAATGCACCCCTGAGCCGAGGGCCTCGCTGCGAACTGCGGTTCCTGCGCAGAAGGAAAAAGACAACTACTGACCATTGGCATTGCATAACCTATGAAGATCCATACACTAAATGTTTATGTACTTTCATTGACCATTTTTACGTAATTTTACTACAAATTGGTACATAATTTCATAACATACCTACACACACAAATGCATGCCTGCAAGTACACAATTACCAACTTGGCTAAGCACACACTCACTAACATATACTTGGCATGTACACACTTACATCTGCATGTTTGGCGCCATAGAACTTTATTCTACGCATATGCATTTGTGTGTACTTGTCGTGTACACATATGCAAGTGAGTAAATTAGCTAAGTAAGCGTTTGTAAGTGTGTACGAGCAAAGTGTGCTTTTGTTAGGGAGTACTTGTAATGAGTAGACAGTTAGGTTTGCATTGTAGGAACAATGTTTCCCGGTTGCGCGTAAGTATCTATGAAATTGTACCTTATTTGTAAACAAACTTACTAACTTACACATAACTTAAATACACCTGCGCAAATACGGAAATTCATAATGTGTACATGCAGTTCACAAGTATTAAATGTTCACTGGCCGTTGTGAAGACATACCTCGGCATCCTCCTCCTGCACACCTACTGCTTCGAGGTTTGCGTGCGTCCCGAACTTCAGAAGCGGCTCCCGGGGTCCGAAGTTGTTGATGCAGAAGGCTTTCTTGACGGAGATGCGCGCTGTAGGACCGGCTGGAGCACCTGGAAAACAAAACACGGTATTAGTACCACTTGGTGGCAGGCAGGATTTTGGGAATTCTACCAGGTCCAACATTTAGAGCATCTACACCGGTCACCGAATTGCAAAATACCATCAATAAACTGCAAGCTCAGTTCATCACTGAAAATCTATCGGCGTGACTTCGTGCCGCTGCAGGGGCGTGAATTAAGTGTCACGCCAATAAACGGCATGACACAAGAGTCACGCCAAAAATCGGCGTGACTCAAATATTCACGCCAATTTTTGGAGTGAATTCCTTGTCATGCCGCTTTTTGGCATGACTTGTCTCGTAAAACGCGTTGTCATTCACGCCAAATGACGGCGTGACTCACATGTCACGCCGTTTATCGGCGTGAATTTCGTGTCACGCCAATTTTTGGTGTGACTTTTTGTCATGCCACAATTGGGCTGTGTGTCCGACCTTTACGTTTTCAGTGATTGTTCATTTCCGCGAACAGGCAAATAACCCACTGCGTGCGTGCAAAATTAATTCAACTGTTTTGGTGTGAAAACACCACCACCACATGCACTTTATTGCACTTGCAACCGACCAGGCACTTCGTGTGCACGTTCGGTCAAACTAAGCATACTCACAATGAAGCCGATCATGGATGAAATGGACGCTTTTGCCAATGTGTGCTCATGAGAGTCAACGCCCAGTGATAACAAATTCCCAAAACGAATTAGTTAGTAAATGTTTCAGTGTGAACAGAACGTGCCTCACGTGATATCAACCATCGGGTAAACTGCTCATTGCTACGATGTATGTGTCAGGCATGAGCAAGTAGCAGTGTACATGGTGGCTGATGCCATGCAAACCAAATTGTGCACACACACAAATTTTAATGCCCATTCAACGACTGGAGCTAAAAATGCGTCTTGAATTTTGGCCCCCTCCAGCGGCCTTCCGAGCCACTGAGCGCGGTGTCTCCAACATGCTGAGGCCAACTCTGGGTCAGCTTCAGCTGTCAGGCCGGCTCCCTCCCGCACTCAAAAAAGTCAACAAGGCGTCTCTTTTGTACTTTCGAAGAAAATGAAGGCATTGTAGAATTGCTTTGGACTACGAAGGAATGCTTCGTACTACGAAGGATTTAGCTTCATAATCCGAAGGATTTCTTCTTGACTTTAAAATGCCCTCGTGTTCTTCGCATTACGAAGCGATGCTTCGTAGCCTCTTTTCAGTGTGGAGGGCGAGTGTGCTAGTGATGATCCTGCGTATCGAATGTGTTTGAAAAATCAACCGAACATAAAATGTTAACTATACAATGAGAGAAATTACAACTAAACGGTGTAAAACACGGAGAAGGAATGTGTTTGGTCAACGAATCTGTTGCATTGATAGGACAAAGATCGTCAGATGAGCTTCGAGAAACGCTCGTTGCAGTCTGCTCAACGATCTCGTACATTTTTACAGCAAACTTCTGACTGATGTAAACATAGTGATTCCCGTCTTGCTTGTTTCCCAAGTTGGCTGGTTATTATTTTTTAATCGTGAGATCCAGAGCGTTCAAGTGACATTTGGGGTGAGATATTTGCCTTGAATGTAATGACTTCATTTATTCAAAACGTTCTTAAGGCTATCATTTGGAACATTTGTCTACTGTGTCTCATATACGCACTATTTTTAAGTCACAAGAGGCTCTAGTAATAGTTGGTTCACAATACTACAGGCTAAGCAACAGCTCTTGGCAGGCAGGCACAAGTTCCTAAATAATGTTAGTAGTAGGTTGTTAGTAATGTTAGTATGTATACAAGTAAATTTATAAGCGACAAACCCCCACCTATCAACGAGTTCAAGGTCTGGGGAAATTCTATCCAAACTGAAAGGTTTCATACATGAAAAAAGGTTCTGTCATTGGAGTAACAACCACTCCTTTTTATAGTGGGCTGGCAAGTGGCCATTTAAAAATAAAATCTAAAACTAACTTTGTAAAACTAAAATTAAAACAATTTTGTAAAAATCTCCTTCAAAAACCTCCGACACTTAAACTAAAACTCATGTTTATAAACTTCTGGACTAAAATTAAAACTTATTATTTAAAACTCTCGAGTTATCTTAAAACATTTTGTAACTCTTGTACTAAAATCAAAACTTTGATAAGGCACTCAGTTTGACGCCAATTTGCGCCGGCACCTCAGCAGCTTTGACCGTTCTGCCCATGGAAAGTTGCAACGTGTAATGTGAGACTCCTTGCTTTGAAAAAGCGTGCGGAGCACTTCTTGCACCGATTCTGAAACGACTCGGGCAGGGAGTGGGACCGTACGTGGTCCCGAGCACCGTCGACGGTTTTTAGGGTCGCCAGGCACAGAGGGCAGACTCGGGCAGGTTCAACCGTAGAGTGGAGATCCAGGAAGTGTTGGACGTAATCTTCCCAGGATTGGAATGGGGCTGTGCAGCGTCCTGTGGAGCAACGCCCCAGCGTCGGAGCTCCGCCATCGAGCCCGTCATCCACCCTGTCGTTCGACCCGTCGTTGGACCCGTCGTTGGACCCGTCGTTGGACCTGTCGTTGGACCTGTCGTTGGACCTGTCGTTGGACCTGTCGTTGGACCTGTCGTTGGACCTGTCGTTGGACCTGTCGTTGGACCTGTCGTTGGACCTGCCGAAGGACCTCACTTTCGACCTGTCGTTGGACCTGTCGTTGGACCTGTCGTTGGACCTGTCGAAGGACCTCACTTTCGGCCTTTCAATTAACGCCACACGGTGGAAGTTCCTCATGTGGTCGGAGACGCCGCCGATGAAACGGGCGGAGCACCGGGGGCAGGGCCAATCACAGAGGCGGTGCGCCCGGCGGTGGTCCGGCATCGCTCCCGGCGGGCAAACCTCCAGACACATGACGCACAAGGCGCCATCCTGCAGAGGGAGAAATAGGGGTCACTTTAAAAAGTCGATCTCAAAATCTTAGCTTTAAATCCAAGTGTGGAAGCGTGGACCATAATTTAGTCCACGTTTTGCAAGCATGAAGGCCTAAAACTATATTTGTGCCACGATATTATCACAGGAGCACTAAAAAAAAGAGTCTACGTAATGTCACGCCCTGAGGAGATGAGAGTGTTAACTTGTTAAAAGGTAAACGAACACGTGGGCTTGGTAAAAAGGTACATTGCGACCGAAAGTTCTACTCTGAAGGCTCTACTGAACACCTTCGTAATATAGTACTCTCATTCCAGAAACGTGACATCGCTTCGAACGAGTGTGACAAAATGTCACGTTCTTTTGAACATTGTGTCACATTCCTTTGAATGTGAATAAGGTAATTGACGGCTGATACACACGAATGTGGCACAATCTACTAGATTTTGTCACATTCTTTTCACCGCGATGTCACGCTCCTCGGATGAGAGAGTACGGACAAAAAGCATAGGATTAAGACAGCACCGTGATGGTAGTAAACCATATGGAAGGGCTCTTAGTAACCTAGGTATTATCAGTTTCTTCTACGAACAAATTTCTTTGCAGTATAATAGATTTGTGTCTTATAGTACTCAGAATTAGGCTAGCTTGCGATTATGGCAGCACGCCATTTCTCAGGCAATTGGGAGTGGAATAGAAATAACTCCAATTTCATTGCAAGATATTTCAATTGTGTCACCTCGTTGGCAAAAGCAACGCCTAGGATAAGCGACCCTGGAAAAAAAGGATTTAATTTCCAGGCACCGCGTGGGAATCCCAGGCGTTACTTTTGCCTTTCTCACCTGTTTCGCTCGAAAGTGGCTGATCTGTTGGTGCGTCACGTGGTCCCTCCAGCAGGAGACGGGCTTCCCGCAGCGCGGGAAGGTGCACCAGCCGGCCGAGGGTGGCCTTGGCTCAGGGGTCAGGGGCTGAGACATCGCCGAATCGGAAGTCACGGGGGCGTCCCACGAGCCGTGGAAGAGGTTCCGGTGTGCCAGCAGCAGGGAGCCCTTGGTGAAGCGGGCTGTGCACCGGGAGCACTTCAAGTCCAGCGGGCCGTGTGGCTCGGCGTGGATCTCCAGGCACAGATGACACACGGAGGAGTCGTGGCGAGCTTTGCAGTGGGACACGTAGCTTTCCCACGATGAGAAATTCATGAGGCAGCCTTTGTATGTGCAGCAGCCCAGGGCGACAGGGGTGGTTACGCCGTCCACCTCAGCCTGGCTTTGGGACGCTGCTTGGGCTGATACTTCTCCAGCTGCCGACACCTCTTCTCTGGCCGCCGACGCCTCTCCTCTGACCGCTGATGCTTCTTCTTTGACCACCGACGCTTCTCCTCCGGCGGTCGACGCTTCTCCTCTGGCCGCTGACACTTCTTCACTGGCCGCTGACACTTCTTCTGTGGCCACTGACGCCTCTCCCTTGACGGCTGACTCTTCTTCTTTGACCACCGATGCCTCTCCTCTGGCGGCCAACGTCTCTCCTCTGACCGCTGACGCTTCTTCTTTGACCGCCGATGCTTGTCCTCTGGCCGCTGACACTTCTCCTCTGGCCACCGAAGCTTGTCCCCTGGCCGCCGAAGCTTCTTCTCTGGCCGCCGCATTGGCTGGTGGTGCTCCCCCAACACGGTGGAAGACGCTCTGATGATTGACCAACTGACGGCCGTCCGTGAAGGTAGCGGGGCACCAGGGGCACTTCAGGTCGCTCTCCCCGTGCGGCTCCTCGTGGTTGTCCAGGCAGAGGGGGCAGACGGAGAGGTCGTGGCGCCCGTGGCACACCAAGTAGTGCGCCACGTAGCTTGGCCACGTCAGGAAGCCCTTGACGCAGCCCGGGAAGGAACACCAGCCCAGCACCGCGGGCAAGTCGTCGTGGTCCCTCTGAGCCTCGCCTTCGGCCGCTGTGGACGTCCAAACACAAGCTTGTACTACGCTGTAAATGTCTAACGGTGAAAGGCTGCACCAACATATTATGGTGGAGATTTTCTCCATAATACCAACGAAATTCGTCAGAATATCTATGAGGTACAGTGAATTCTCAATGGTATGGTACGAAGTCAGCTGCACCACCATAATATGGAACATTGTCACCATAATGTGGAGAATCTTCACTGTACAACATGAAGAGTGTACGAACGACTTCTGTCTGCATTACGAACCTATATTTTGTGTTACAAAATAGCACAGTGCAGTTGTATTGCAAAACTATTCTCTAGTAACACCTAGCACTGACCTCTGCGTAAAAGAAATAGCGTCTGAATATTTTTCGAAGGTTTTTATCACATCTTTACTGGTCAAACTGAGGCCTACCTGAATGCTTGAATAGTACGGTTACACACGAAGACGTTACGCTTGTAATGAAGCATAGACTAAGAATTACCCCAATGCATTTAGGTATGGGGAATCTGGGCGAATTATCTTGTTTCACTTGATTTCAAACGTGAACGGATTACGCTCGAAAACAGAGGGTAAAACTGCGGTTTAGTTTTACCTGCGTTTGTACTGTTTAGTGTTTAATTTTTTTTAACTAAGAGAAAAAGTATTGTTATACAACTGCACCGTATTTCCTACCAATACAAAATGAAGTTTTGTAAATGACTCGTGCAGACTTTTTCTAGTGAGATACAGAAACACCCACGGTGCATACGCACCTTCGACTGTCGCTCCAGATGCCCTAGAGCGCGCTGCCTGCCTGGCCGCCAACGGCTGTGGCGGGTTCTGGCAGTGGAACTGGGCCCAGTGCTTCTGGAGGGAGTCCCGGCTCACGAAGGTCGCAGTGCAGCGGCCGCAGTCCCAGGCGGCGTCCTTCATGTGAGACAGCATGTGGCCGTCGTAGTCGGCGACCTGCTCCAGACACACGGAGCACGAGGACCGGCTGCGGGGAAGCTCGAAGTGGCAACTCATGTGATGTTCCAGGTGCTGCTCCCAGGACGTGAAACCCGTGTGGCACCCGTCGAAGGTGCACCAGCCAATTTTGGAGCCGATGGCGGCCTTACTGTCCCGGCTGCCAGCCTCCGCACCGTCGCGCAGGTCTTCCTCCAAGCCCGCGGCTTCGCGGGAAGCGTGCGACCTGGAAGTTGGTGCTTGCGGCCCGCTTGGCTCAAAGTTGTGCCGCTCGGACTCGGACTTGATAGCGATGCCAGGTACTGTGGCAGTGGGACCACCTGCAAGGCACGACGAGGCATTAGACTCTAATGATTAGAACCATGGGAAGGCAGGAGAGACGAAATGCTGCCGTCCCTAGTGCCAAACCAAAGTGGCGAGAACTCCACAGTTCCTAGTGTGGATTCAATTCTCCACACATAATGCAAGTGCAAAGTTGGCAGTCTCCACACTTTAAGTGTAGAGTAGCTACCAGAGCCCCTCTCTTTAGGCATGGTGTAAAGGTGCAGAACTCCACATTTGAGGTGCAGAAACTGCACCACTGTAGCAAAAAGTTACAGAAAATTCTGTTAATTTTTTTTTGCCAAGATTCACCGTAGCCCTCTGATCAATATTCTCCGACGGACCTTACAGTATTCACCGTAGGATCTTACAATATTCTCCTCCTTAGGGCCTTTAAGTGTCCTCCGTTGCACTCTGCAGTCCAGAAGGTCCTATGGAGGTGACTGTATGGTCCTACGGCGAATACTGAAAGGTCTTACGAGGAGTATATATAAGAGGGCTACGGAGAATGTTGGCAAAAGAAATTAACAGAATTTTTCCGTAGCTTTCTGCCACAGTGTAAGTGCGGGAACTGAAAATTCCACACAGCCGCGTTTCGAGTGTGGGGTTCTCCACACAAGGTTTAACAGTGAACCTTCACCACCTACGCATGCAGAAACATGCTTCAGCAAACATTCGCACAAGACTATTGTTCTAGCTACTTGTTGATGTCGCTATCAAGAACCTATAAAGCCCCAATCCGACTGACTGACTCACTCATAGAAATGTTTGGGGTGAAGGAGTGGTCGTAGAGACTTGCGGTTTTTTCCATTCAATTCCAAATTATATGGGAAAATTGGGAAAAATCCCAAAAGTTGAAAATTCCTCACCGTTTCCGAGAAAACCTACTTTATCTTCAGAAAAGGGGAACAAATTTCTCACCGTTTCCGAGCAAACCTACTCAATCTTCAAAAAAGGGGACCGACCGACTAAAAATTTTTATTCGCCTCATCGGTAGGTCTGGTCGAGACATTTCCGAAACTGGGCCGCAATCGGGTCTCCGTCACTGGCAACATCCTCAAAAAACGATTAAATAGGCCTAAATTCAACAAAATCCACTCAATCTTCAAAAAACGGGACCGACCGACTAAAAGTTTTTATTCGCCCCATCGGTAGGTCTGGTCGAGACATTTCCGAAACTGTGCCGCAATCGGGTCCCCGTCACCGGCAACATCCTAAAAAACGACTAAATAGGCCTAAATTCAACAAAATCCACTCAATCTTCAAAAAAGGGGACCGACCGACTAAAAAATTTTATTCGCCCCATCGGTAGGTCTGGTCGAGACATTTCCGAAACTGGGCCGCAATCGGGTCCCCGTCACCGGCAACATCCTCAAAAACGATTAAATAGGCCTAAATTCTACAAAATCCACTCAATCTTCAAAAAAGGGGACCGACCGACTAAAAATTTTTATTCGCCCCATCGGTAGGTCTGGTCGAGACATTTCCGAAACTGGGCCGCAATCGGGTCCCCGTCACCGGCAACATACTCAAAATCAATCATCAATTGTCATCAAGAACCTATAAAGCCCCAAAATCCGACTGACTGACTCCCTCACTCATCAATCAAGAACCTATATAGCCCCAATCCGACTGACTGACTGACTCACTCACTCATAATAATGTTTGGGGTAGGAGTGGTCGTAGAGACCTGCGGGTTTTTCCATTCGATTCCTAATTTAATGGGAAAATTGAGAAAAATCTCAAAAGTTGAAAATTTTTCACTGTTTTTGAGCAAACCTACTTAATCTTCTAAAAGGGGACCGAATGACTTAAAATTTTTAATCGCCCCATCGGTAGGTCTGGTCGAGAATTTCCGAAACTGTGCCGAAATCGGGACCCCGCCACCGGCAATTGGGCAATCATCATCAAGAATCTATATAGCCCCAATCCGACTGACTGACTGACTCACTCACTCACTTCCTCACGCAAAGAAATGTTTGCGGTCAAGGAGTGGTCGTAGAGACCAAAGGTTTTTTCCTTTCACCTCTATCCTTGTCAAAGCAGTCTTCGATATTTTCCGGACCTTGTATGCACCCCCAATGACTGCCACAGTAGCCAATGCAATACAAGCTATCTATTTGGGCAGTAAAAGTAGCCTTATTATATGGTCAAAAGCGGTTAAATAGAGCTGTCAAAGAAGCAGGACATTTACTTCCTTAAAAAATTTGCCTTTGGTCACCACGGGCTTACTGAAAATACTTCGGCACGCGCTCCACACATGCGGGGGTCTGGGGGCGGAGCCCCCAGCGAGCAGCGCGAGTTTTATGATATATCTACTACACATGGTAGTCTAGCTACATGATGACTTGGCTACTTGATGATCTGGCTACTTTTTCACCATTTGAGTGATCGAATCAGCTAAAATTAGATATGTTAGACGCAAAACATCAAGAATAACATTAGATAAGTTGTTTTCAATAAGTAATCCGTGGCCGCGTCCGCTGTTCACGCAAAAAAAAATCAAACCAGAGGTAAACCGAGGTAAACTATTAGCTCGAAAATACACTTGGCGCAATCAACTAGCTTGAGCTTAATTACAAACCTTTGTAAAACTGCAAAAACTTATCACTTTGAAGTCAAGCTTAGAGAAGAAATATTGCAATGCAATAAGATAGGAGGAAGAGAAGTAGAACGGACGCTTGAGGTCAGGCGTATAGTTCTGAAAATTCGACAGTTTTCCCAATACTCTCTCTTTGACGTGCATTCATTTCGACGAGTCTTATTCAAAAGGTCTTACCTGAGGGCATTCCCCCAAAGAATCTTATTTAAAACGCAGGCGCATTTCACTCAGTCTGATCATTGGATACAGCTAAAAAAAAAACATGATTTGTGATTAAGGGGGCAGTAGCACTTTGTGCACGCTTTTTCAATTTTTTTCGAATTTTCTGTTTGCACCGGAATTAAAAAGACTTCCATGAAGGCTAGAGACAAACGGCAGTAACCATGTAAAAGATCAATTTTATTGCAACAATTTCAAAAAAAAAGTATTTTGTTTTAGCATAAGGGGAGGCACCTATATGAGGGACGTAAAAAAGGTCTGCAAAATCATACGTGGTGTCACTGCGCGCACGATTTCAGCCAAAGTTTTCAACATTTTTTCAATCGGTAAAGTGCATAAAAAAGAGCATAAAATTGTTTACAAAATGAACCACGGGGGTTAATATCGGATGAAAAATGCTACTGGATATTTAGTATCGAACAAGAAAAATGCATTCAATGGAAAATTTGTGAAAAACGACCTTTTTCTACCAGCGTTTTTGGCCCGATATTAACTCCCGTGGTTCATTTTGTAGGCAATTTTATGCTCTTTTTTATGCACTTTACCGATTGAAAAAATGTTGAAAAGTTTGTCTGAAATCGTGCGCGCAGTGACACCATGTATGATTTTGCAGACCTTTTTTACGTCCCTCATATAAGTGCCTCCCCTTATGCAAAACCAGAATACTTTTTTTGAAATTGTTGCAAAAAAATTGATCTTTTACATGGTTACTGCCGTTTGTCTCTAGCATTCATGGAAGTCTTTTTAATTCAGGTGCAAACAGAAAATTCGAAAAAACTTGAAAAAGCGTGCACAAAGTGCTACTGCCCCCTTAAATTCACTGAAACATGTAGATACACGATCAAAGAAACCATCAGTACGTGTAGAAATGTGCTCCGCTACCTCTCGTATCCGTCCCAAGAGATGAAACTTCACTGTAAAAAATTCCGTAGTTTTGTACGGAAAATGTACAGACGAAAATGATACGGAAGAACGGGAAAAAGTACGGAACGTCCGTACTTGTCCCATAAGAACTCATGTAATCGGGTACGGAAAAAAGGGACGGAAGTTCCGTAGTAGGACAGGTACGGACGGTCCAGGCAAATTATTGACCAGACATGTTCCGTACTTTTTTCTCGCAGTGATTGGCGAAATTCACTTGCGTTTCAGATAAGATTCTTTTGAATAGGACCCCTCGTTTTGAGTACAAATGGGTCGAAATGGGTACATAGTGTATTTTGTTAACTTCACTGCAAGATCAAATGTGTGCTTAGTACACAGCTGTAGGAGCGTACTTGCAAGCACACATCTATAGGTGTATGCTTGGCAAGTACACATCTATAGGTGTATGCTTGGACAAGCACACATCTATAGATGTATGCTTGGCCAAGCACACAGCTGTAGGAGTGTGCCTTTAAATGGGTGGGATTAAAAGTGTGCTTGGCCAAGCATGCACCTATAGATGTGTACTTGCCAAGCATACACCTGTAGCTGTGTGCTTGTCCAAGCATACAGCTATAGATGTGTGCTTGCAAGTACGCTCCCATAGCTGTGTACTAAGCACACATTTGATCTTGTAGTGTTATTGCACACAGTGTTATCCAATTGAGCCCAAATTTATGTCCCCATTGGCAAGACGAGTCAATATAAGTAGACTTGGCTCGGAGGAGAAAAATCGGGGAACAAAGGGTTTTCTTATTTCAACCCGTACATGGACACGAGAGAACTTCGGCTCAAAACTTTCGCATCTGAATTCGACATCAAAATATCTTGGGCGACGTCGATTGGGTCGATGAAGTTGCAAGAAGACAAGCTACAGGATTGTGTCCAGCAACAAAAGTTGTGACAACGAACTTTCATTTTCAACAGAGAAACCGTGGTTGGAACAGCGGAGCGGTTCGGTGGCCCAGCGAGTGGGTCATTCGTTCGGCCAGCGAGACGTTCGACTGTGGCAATCAAGGTTCAACTAAGCAAATGAAACTTCGTCACTTTGAAGCCTATCCTGTGGAGAAAAATCAATTCAATGTAAGCACATTTTCAGTGCATTGTCGGTGTGGGTTGAGAACAATCCTAGCTGCAAAGGCGCTCTACAAACTGAAGTGTGTACTCAGTATGCATCTACAGATGCATACTTGCAAGTACACACCTGCAGATGCATACTTAGCTGAGTACACATCTACAGATGCATACTTAGCTGAG